CCAAACCCCAAACCCCAAACCCCAAACCCCAAACCCCAAACCCCAAACCCCAAACCCCAAACCCCAAACCCCAAACCCTACACCAAACTGAAGTGCCGAGAGCCGGGCATTGCATGCGGAGTGCCGAAACCGAGAAGCGCTGGTGTCGAGCAAACAGCTCTCCCCTGACGCGCGGTTCCCGTGTAGGGTTTAGGGTTTCGGGTTTCGGGTTTCGGGTTTAGGGTTTAGGGTTTAGGGTTTAGGCTTAGGGTTTAGGGTTTAGGGTTTTGGGTTTGACAGCCTCCCATACCCCGGTCATTCGGGGATGCCCTGCTGCCTGCAAGTGAGCAATGTAGAAGCCCAGACCCCTGGGAGGATCCAAAAAGTACAACCCCCAAATAGTACCCGCTACTACTACCCTAACCCTAAACCCTAAACCCTAACCCTAAACCCTAAACCCTGAACCCTAAACCCCGATGGCGCTGCCTGTGGTCGGTCGGCCGGACGTCGTAAAGGACCCTGCTAGCGAGCACCAGGTTTTGAGGTAGGGTTTAGGGTTTAGGGTTGAGGGTTGAGGGTTGAGGGTTGAGGGTTGAGGTTTGAGGGTTGAGGGTTTAGGAGGTACTGAGGCTGCTAGGCTTTGGGCCTGGGTCTCGGAACTTTAAACCCTAAGCCCTAAGCCCTAAACCCTAAACCCTTTAGTGGTTCCTGAACCGTTCCGAATGCTCAGGCTCAATGCGAAACCTTCAAACCCTGAACCTTAGAAAGATGTGGGCGGATGTCAACAGTATGATCCCTTTTGGGGTGGCCTAATTAAATGTTAGGTGCTGTGTTACGATAGGGATCCAAAAAGGGACCATAATTTGACAACCGCCCATGTGATTTGCACATGCCGCCGGTGAGAACAAAGGAGGCCTTCGTGGCTGCAATCCCCTAGAGAGAAGTCCCCGCAACATGGGTAGCTCTCGATATTTCCCTAAACCCTAAATCCTAAACCCTAAAACCAAAAGAACCCTAAACCCTAAATCCTAAACCCTAAACCGTCCATATTTCCCTAAACCCTACACCCTAAGCCGTAAGCCGAGGTCGCTTCCAAAAGTGGATACTGTTCATAAGGTGCCATACTATTTAGGGGGACCGGGAAGGGCAACCTAATGTAGAGAACTGCCCAGCCCTAAACCCTAAACCCTAAACCCTAAACCCTAAACCCTAAAACCTAAACCCTAAACCCGAAACCATTAAACCCTAAACCCTAAACCCTAACTTTGCGAACTGCCCACAATGCTGGAGTCAAGCTGTCCTGACTGAATGGCACTGGAGCATCTCCCAGAAGTCCTGGGCCGGTTCAAGTTGTTGAGGGTTTGGGGTTTAGGGTTTAGGGTTTAGGGTTTGGGGTTTGGGGTTTGGGGTTTGGGGTTTGGGGTTTTAGGGTTTGGGGTTTGGGGTTTGTGGTTTAGGGTTTAGGGCTTGATTTTTTGCCACCCGCCTAGCTGATGCATCACATCGCACTGCAGGGAAGACCCTCGTTACTTACCAGAGGGAAAAATAGTTTCGGCATGGACCAAAGATCTTCGTCCGTCCCGGACCTCCGGTGTGCATATAAGATCTGACACAACAAAACTTGTTTGGGGTTCAGGGTTTGGGGGGTTTATGGGTTTAGGGGTAGAGGGTTTGTGGCTTTAGCGTTTAGGGCTCGAGGGTTGAAGCTTTAGGTTTGGGGTTGCAGGGGATAGGGCTGGCCTTAAACAGCAACCCTGCTCCTGTCAAAGTGGGCCAATGACTACAGGGTTCTTCACGGAGGGGGGTTCACGGGGGGCATGCAACCTAAGGTTCCCTGATACTCCCCACTACTCCCGAAGCCCCAAGGTCCCCTAAGTACCAACCCCTAAACCCTAAAAACCCTAAAAACCCTAAAAACCCTAAAAACCCTAAAAACCCTAAAAACCCTAAAAACCCTAAAAACCCTAAAAACCCTAAAAACCCCAAAAACCCTAACAACCCTAAACCATATTTCCTCTGAACCGTCCTCCCTTAAGGACCCGATAGAATGCGGTTACTTTGGGGACTACATGAACCCGGAGAGGGTTGAGGGGTTGAGGGTTTAGGGTTTAAGGCTTAGGGGACCCATCTACTGCTGTTTGCTTAAGAGCCACCGGGGTTTAGGGTTTAGGGTTCGATTCAAGGACACCCCCCCCCCCTATAAGTAGATTGGTAAGAACCCTATATTGGGCTACAAGGATCCTAGCTAAGGTTAGAACTACCTATAGTTAGTAGAGGAAGGCAGGAAGGGGGTGTATGGTCAGTTCTGAAATTGCGGTGCCTCTTTGGGTACCCTAGATATTCGGGGCCGCCTTATGATAGCAACCCCAAAAGGGACCATACAGATATCAGAGAAGTGACCATAATCTCCTAGTAGGGACGATAGCAGCACAGGATGCATGATGCCATTCACCTGGCTGACTTCCGAACCCCTCCCAAAAGTTTAACTTTTGGGCTCCTTATTGTAGTGTCTTCAACAACCCAAAGGGTTAAAGTCCTAAGAGCAAGCCAGAAGAAAGCCAAGTTCATCCTGTGCTTTCCAAGGCAGGGTCTAGGTTTTCGGGTTTTGCCGTCGATGGGGTGCAAAAGCACAGACGTTTCGAGACAAGGCTCCTTGTGAAGCCTCAACTTTACACCCTACAAACCCTAAACCCTAAACCCTAAACCCTAAACCCTAAACCCTAAACCCTAAACCCTAAACCCTAAACCCTAAACCCTAAACCCTAAACCCTAAACCCACCCCCTGGCGCCCGATGTGTTCCGACAAGGCCTTCTCCAGCATGTCCCCATGGCCGACCTCACCATTGCTTTGCTGGGATCTACGGATGCCATGTTGAACAAAGCGCCCAAAAAGTGCGTTAAAAGCAAAATCGCGCGAAGGCCTGGCTAGGAGGCTCATGTTATCTAGAGAAGCAAGGCTGGAACAGGGCAACTAGTAGGAAAGTGAGCCGGGCACTTCCCATGTACGCAAGGCACAGCTGGATCCCGAGTATATCCCTAAACACTAAAGCCTTATAGGAAGCTGAAGCACACAAACAAGAAAAAAGAGACTGAACGGCTGAGGCAAAAGGGTTTAGGGCTCAGGGGTTCCACAAAGTCCAGAAGTCTCTTCCACTCTCGCTTTCTTTCACGGGGCGAGTGCGAGTTTCCCTGTCTCTCCCTCTCTCTCTCGCCCTCGCTCCTCGTCTTCTTCTTCTCCTCCTCCTTCTTCTTCTGCGGACTTGATGGCCCCCCTGTTCTCTCTCTCTCTCTCTCTCTCTCTCTCTTCTTTTCCTTATTATTAGTCATATTCCTATTCAAACCCATATTCTTATTCTTATTCTTACTCTTATTCTACCTCTCTCCCTCTCCCTCCCCCTCTCCCTCTCCCACTCCCTCTCTCTCTCTCTCTCTCTCTCTCTCTCGCTCGCTCTCGCTGTCCAGCGGACTCAGTGGCGGACACATCCTCAGCCCGAATGCTAAACCCTAAACCCTAAACCCTAAACCCCTAAACCCTAAACCCCAAACCCTAAACTCAAGCACGGTGCCTCTGCGCTTAACTGGTCCGAGGCCGGAGCCGAGTAGATCGTGACCGGGTCCATCTTCCTTGGGCGCGTCTTAGGGGCTGAAGGGTATAGGGTTAGGGATCATTCGTAACAAGGGAACGCACCACAAAAAAAAAAAAAAAACATTACTGAGCATCTCACAAGATGCTTTCTCGGAGCTTTTTGAACATGGAAATCAACACACAGTGCCTCCGAGTCGCTCCAGGCTCAGGTGCTCGCGGGAGAAGGGCGAGTGCATGAGATCCCCCTGGCCATTCCTCATCCACCATAACGTCTCATTCCACTCTAGACAATGCTCCGTTATGTCTAGCTTAGGGTTTGCAAAAACCCCACATGGCACACAGATCTTGGCTGCCATCTGCATCTATCATCTGCGGACGCTCGCTCGCACTGCTCTCAATCCCATCCAAGCTGCCACCTTTCCGCATCTTCCATGGTCAGCCTAGGCGACATTCCACGCAATAGCGACTTTATGGTTTAGGGTTTAGGGTGTAGGGTTTAGAAACTATAAGTCTTCGGCCCTTCACTTGACGGGAAGTGGCGCTGTTTCCGCGGAAGCCTGCTGCTGGCCCTGTTTCCTCGCTGCGCTCCTGTACAGGCCGGAGGCATCGCGAGCATGCGGCAGCTTAGCCACTGCGGATGTCCGGAAACTGTGACGTCTTACAGCTTTCAACGCGTATGACCCTTTCAGAGGCAAGCCCTAAACCTTAAATCCTAAACGCTTTGACGTCTTACAGCTTTCAGGCAACGCGTATGATCCTTTCAGAGGCAAGCCCTAAACCTTAAATCCTAAACGCTTTAACTCTAAACCCTCCAAGCCTTTTGCATAAGGCTGGCTGCAAACCCCAAACCCAGTTACCCCTAAACCCTGTGAGCCCAGAAGCAAGCCCCCGAAGAGACGTCCGGACATCCGCAAGAGGAGTAAAATCTGACAGAGCCTAGCTCTGCCTAGCCTGGACATCACAAGTACAGGCCCTTCATGGCAGTGACAAGCTATGAACTGTTTGCACCCTAAACCCTAAACCCTAAACCCTAAACCCTAAACCCTAAACCTGAAACCTGAAACCCAAACCCTAAACCTGCTCATGTCCGTTTGGTGAGGGGCCCTGCAGGCCGAGCTGGCGAACCTCTGTGCAACCAGCTGGCGATGATCCGAAAACAAGGGCTCTGTGTGTGCGACCGGCAGTTGTCAGCTTCCAAGGCCATCTGGATAATCTCTGCGAATGAACTTTTTGACTTCTCAAGCAACGCAGCACTTGCCTAAGTTAGGGCACCTGGCATCCGTAGTACTAGCTATGTACATTTTTCGACTTCAACTTAAACACTTAGTTGCTGAGTTCATCAGCCCCCCGAAAGTGTACAGTTTCAGTTCTACAGGGGATTACAGTATCCCAAAAGTGTAAAGTGTACTCATTAAGCAACTAAGAACAATACGCGTCAGGCTGTCACACACAGGCCACCCCGGCCGGAACAGACCGAGCGATTCCCTCCCACCGTCAAGTTCGGAAGCAGGCTGAGATGGTCCACCAGGGTCCTGACTTTAGGGGTGCTGCGGTTTAGGGTTTAGGGTTTAGGGTTTAGGGTTTAGGGTTTAGGGTTTAGGGCTTCGGGTTTCGGGTTTGGGGTTTAGGGTGCATGCGCGCGCCCGTACATTACAAGGGGATGCTGTAGGCAGGGGATCTACATCCCCGCACCGCTGCCACGTACATCCAAGCACATCCCGGAAACAACCCATCCCTAAACCCTAAACCCTAAACCTTTATTGAACCCTAAATCCTAAACAATAAACCCTAAATCAAATGACCCGGCCTGTAGAGGCCATGATCTTGGGTCTCATTGGCAAGCTTGGACATCTCGTCCTTCATCTCATGAAACCGCTCCTGGACAGGGGGTTTAGGGTTTAGGGTTAGGGTTTAGGGGTGAGCTCTCCGAGAACACCCGGACTTCTAAGCAGATGCCCCTCAGGGTTCCTAGAAAGACCCTGAAGTCGAAAGGGGTGGCTGCGAGCCTGCTGCCTTGAACAACGGCAAGCCCGAGAGGAACATGAGGCAACCCTAAACTTATAGGGTTTTTAAGGGAGGGGGGCTTCAAAGCGGGTATGTAAGCCCAGTTCCCTAATACTCACCACTCCTCCCTCAGCTTCCCTAAGGTTCTCTAGGTACCTACCTCCCTGAACCCCCTCCCTTCAGAACCCTATAACTAAACACGAAGTGGAGGCTCTGAGTAACGTTGCTCTGACACAGCGTGTCCGAACAAAAACTGCGTCAAGAAAAATGACTTGGCAAATGCTAGCAATGCTGCAAAGCAGCATTCCCCGTGTGTATGCAAGGCAGCCCCGAAGCCCGCTGGCACCCCCAAGCGCAACTTTTCTGCGCGGATCAAGCGAAACAACACACGAAACCTCAAACACTCTACTTTCAGTCTCCTCTCTTAAGCCCTAGACCAGAGAAAACACACACACACACACACTCACACTCACGCACAAACAAACACACAGCCTTGATTGCAAAAACCTGTACTAGCAAAGTTTTCTTGGAAGAAAGGGCAAGCCTTGGGTTGAAGTTCATAGTGCTCAAAGAAGACGATACAGGGCACCTACTCAGCAACCTAAACCCCAACCCCTTCTGCATCAGCTCTAACCCTTACACCCTAAACCCTAAACCCTAATTCCTAAACCTTGAACCCAAAACCCTAAGCCCTAAGCCTCAACCCTGAACCCTGAACCCTGAACCCTGAACCCTAAACCCTAAACCCTAAATCCTAAACCCTAAACCCTAAACCCTAAACCCTAAACCCTAAACCCTAAACCCCAAACCCCTCGCAAGGCCGAGGGTCGATCCACCACTCGACAGGACCGAAGGGGCCCTCCGCGTGATTCTGCCGGGCATCAAGGGCTGCTTCCCTCACCGCCTTCAGGGGTCGGGGAGGGGAGGTGGGGTTTAGGGTTTAGGGTTTAGGGTTTAGGGTTTAGGGTTTAGGGTTTAGGGGTTTAGGGGTTTAGGGGTTTAGGGGTTTAGGGGTTTAGGGGTTTAGGGTTTAGGGTAGGGGTGGAGGGGCTTTTGCCGGAGTCAGGGCTTCGGGTTTATGCTAAAACCCTATACCCCGACATTTCAAGGGTTCCCTGCAAACCTGTGAGTGGGGTGTCGGAAACTTCGGAAACCCAATGAGCGACGCACAAAATCACGTTACACAGCGCGAGGTCGCGGAATACCATATCGTCGCTTTACTTGCTTTACGTGGGGCCCATATCGCTTTACATACTATGGGACTCCGGATACATGTGTCTGAACGTGCCAACTAATGTTATCGCTTTAGGTGGGGCCCATATCGCTTTTCATGGTTTAACAACTCGTGTCTACCGTAGTACTGGCTTAGAGAAACATAATTTAGGCAGGCGCTCAATAGGGTTTAGGGTTTAGGGTTTACAGTTTAGGGTTTTAGGGTTTAGGGGCTTCGGGTTTCGGGAAGAACAACACATCGTGGGATGGGGGGGCTGCCTCGAGGCTTCTACCCACCTGGTTTTGGTGTTTCTTGTTTTGATTGCTTGGGTTTGAAACTACCCTAAACCCTACACCCTAAACCCTAAACCCTAAAACAACGGAAGTTTGGTACCCCAACCTAGGATTTCGTGTACAAGCCTCAAGGCTGAGGGTTGCGACTGAGGCTTGTGGTGTTGAGTTGTGTTCTCTCCTGCCTTGGTGAACTTATCAGTTGCTTGCAGGCTTCGGAGCTCCAGGCTTCGAATATTCCCTTTTCTGCTGCCTAAACCCTAAACCCTGGGGATATCGGTTTTCTTGCGCAAGGGGGGGTCCGGGTCCGGGTCCGGGTCCGGGTCCGGGTCCGGGTCCGGGTCCGGTCAGTATGGGTCCGGGTCCGGGTCCGGGTGGGTCCGGGTCCGGGTCCGGGTCCGGCATCGCGGTCCGGGTCTCAGAAGAATGTGTGAATAATATGTTAAACCATCAGGCGCTCATGGTGTTTGCAAATGGGGGGGGGGGGGGGTGCTGCCCCCCCCCCCCCCCCCAACCCTTGCGCTTTTTTTAAGCGTGCAAGCTTGCTTCAAAGCATATATGAATCCGTTTTACACCCACCAGGCGGTCGTTGTGTTCGAAAGTGGCGGGGCTGCGATCATTGTCTTTGCAAATGGGGTCGCTGCGCCCCCCCAACCCCCTCGCTTTTGTTAAGCTGTGCAAGCCTGAATCTTTTTTAAACCCTTAACCCGAAACCCCCATGGCGGGCAAGGGCAAAAGTCCTGTATCCTTAAAATCTAACCCCTAAACCCTAAACCCCACAGCCTCAAGTGCAAGGCCAATGGACCTCTACCTTTAAAACCCATACATAATAAATAAAATAGAATACAAATTTAAGAATAGAACAATTTCAATATATTATAATACAATATCATGCAATAAAATAAAAAATAATATTATACTATATTGTATTATACTAGATTATATTATTGCATTTTACATTATACTTTTGAATATAAACTCTTTTACAGGTCCAACTCCGGGTCCGGGTGAAGGTCCGGGTCCGGGTCCGTCCGGTCCGGGTTCGGGTTCGGGTCCCGGTCCGGGTCCGGGTCCGGGTCGGGGTCCGGGTCGGGGTCCAGGTCCGGGTCCGGGTCCGGGTCCGGGTCCGGGTCCGGCGGGGGGGGGGGGGGGGGGTACGGACGTTGAAGCGCGAGAAAAACGATAAACCCTAAACCCCAAACCCGAAACCCTAAACCCCAAACCCCAAACCCTAAACCAGTGGGCCCATCCAGTGAGGCTGGGGGTTTAGGGGCCTGCTCCGACAGACTCTGGGACTATAACCCAAGTCTTGGGTTATGGTCCCAGAGGCAGGGTTTATGGTTTATGGTTTAGGGTTTAGGGTTTAGGGTTTATGGTTTAGGGTTTGTCCTAGCTGGGACGCCCATACCATTGCATCTTCTGTGGCTGACGGTTGAGAAAAAATGGACCCTCAACCCTAACGATTTCACAGCCCCTGTTCCTAACGCACCTAAGCCCCAAGCCTTAAGCCCCAAACCCTAAAAGTTTAGGACCTCAAGACTTCACCCCCTTTGGGTGCGCAGCTTTGAGACAGCAACCGCCGAGGCCAAGGCAAACCAATGGCAGATTGCCGCGAAGGCCACGAAGAGATGCCAAACCACGTGGTAGATGGGCCTCTCGATTATCTACTAATTGCTTAAGAACCGCCCCCCACCCCACAAAAACAAATGTTTTTCTTCCTTGTAAGGGCAATATCTAGGGATTTTCATTTTTACATGTTTTTTAGGGGGCAATGGGGAACCCCAATTATGTTACGGAATCGCCGGGGGTTGCAGGGGGAGGGCGGGGGATCACCTCCCCCAATGGCAATTGGGAATCCCGGCCCCGCAGTAAGCTTGCCTGGACCCTATAATTATAGGGTTTAGGGAGTTGAGATTTATCCGATCGCATGGCAAAGCAGCCAGCTTACTCCATACACGGTATCCCAGATATCCCGAGACCCTTCTTGCCCGGACCTGTGTTCGGCAAGTACGAAGAATGGCACGCCAGCTGTGTAGAGCAGCCTGTCTGGGGGCTTGGGCGTAGGGTTTAGGGTAAACCTAACGGTCCATGTACTTCATTATGATGTACTTGGGCCCCAAAAGCCACTATATAGGTAATAGGTACGTTAAGGCCCAAGTGTCCCCTTTTTAGGTACATGGACCCTTAGGGTGGTATAAGAGGCCCCAGATTGAGTTCCTTAACCATCAGGTAACTTGCCTGTCTTCTGGGTGGCATCGCTTGAATACGGGTCTGGCACGTATGCCACGCCACAAATGGGGGCTTCCGAAATTAGGGGTACCTCATTAGGGTCCTTGTTATAAAGGAAGTCTACTATTTAGGGGGTTCTATAATTAGGGACCAACTCATTTTCGTAAACTCCCATGTCTGTTTGAAAAAGGCATCTCTAGAGAGGGGACGTCAATTCCAGCTTCGCAGTGGGCAGTTTTGGGGACGCCCTAGGTTGTGCTGACAGGGCCTCTTGAAAAACATCTGCTTGCTTGAAGATTCCTGAATGTCTAGTTTTCCCTAAACCATAAGCCCTAAACCCTAACCCCTAACCCCTAAACCCTAAAAACCCAATAAACCCAATAAACCCTTTTTTTGCAGCCGGACTGAGAGCGTTGCTGGTAAACCCTAAACCCTAAACCCTAAACCCTAAACCCTAAACCCTAAACCCTAAACCCTAAACCCTAACCCCCCCCCCCCCCCCCCCCCGGAACCCGAAGTAACTGCAACCAAGCCCTTTCGCCGGCAGGAGGCCCGCCAGCCATGAGCCAGAACCAGCAAGTCGGCGGAAGCTGGCTGATGAAGGTATCCTTAACAGGGGGTTTAGGGTTTAGGAACCGTGGTGCACATCAAGGCTGGCGGTTTAGGGTTTAGGGTTTAGAGTCCCTTTAAGCCTCCAAAAGTTGTTGCGACACAAGACCCTCTTGAATCCGATAAAGAGAAACCCTGAACCCTTCTAGCCCTGAACGCTAGACAAAGGGTCGTTGAGGGTTTGGGGTGTCGAGTAAGCCTCACTATACCAACTGTAGTCAGAATGCTCATAGCCCAAGCTAGGGCGGCGTATAGCCCCAAACCCTGAACCTTAAGCCCTCAGCCCTAAACCTTTGTAGAGGCCCATGGTAAACCTGAATTGCCAAGGCCAGAGCCCAGGCCAAAACGGCCGCCCAGCCCATGGCCAGGTAAAGCAGGAGCTCACCAGTAAGGTAGGGAACCTGTCTTGAAACTTTGGCTTGTTTTTTTCCCACCCGTTTCGCATGCGTTTACGGGGAACAGGTCGGATTGCTCAAAAAGGGCTCAGGGTTGATCTCGCATAGCTGGCAGAACCGCACCGCAGGGTTTTGGGTGTAGTAGTTAGGGTCGAGGCTTCAGGGCTTAAGGTCTAGAGGTGTTGGGTGCTGGGATCTGAAACCTCGGTTAGATTCTGCTTTGGGGCTTTCGCAGTTCCGAGGGGTTCGGAGGGCTTAGAACCCGCTGGGCTCATGAGCTGGAAGGACACTACCGTGCCCCAGGCCTGTCAACAATGCGCGTGTCTAGTCTAGGGCCTGCCCCTCACCCTCAACCCTCTACCCTAAACCCGGAACTCTATCATCAAACCCTGTAAGGCCTATAAATCCTATAAACCCTATAAACCCTATAAACCCTAAACCCTAAAACTCCATCCTCGAAGATTGCAGGCGAAGCACAGAGGTACCCCAGTCAAAGTATTGCGAGCAGATGTGCGTCACGATGCCCAGCCAGCAAAGGATCCATTCCTAGGGGCGCTTCGCTCTAACTGAGCGAACCCTGAATCCCAAACCGTAGACCCTAGATTGGGGTATAAGGATCCTAACTTAGGTCAGAAGTCGCTGAACTATAGTTACTTTTGCAAGGGCCCCTCCTTGTAGGTGCCTGAAGTAATATTCCAAAAGGTGGCGAATCTTACCGCTATCACTGGCTGCAAGGACGAATTACCTCGTGATCGCCGGCTAAAGAGACAACAGCCAAGCTTAGCGGCGTGGCGCGGGAACGAAACGTGCTACATCAGGTTTGACATTTGACATGAAAATTCGCTTTGCAAGGGCAGTCGCGACTCCACATACACACACATTGCTAGATTACATTGCGCTACATCTCAATAGAATACATGACATTACACTACACAGCCACAGTACCACACACAAGGAGAAGCCTCCCCCTCCTAGATATACGCAGCAGGAAAAGGACCCTAAATTGGTTTACAAAAATCCTACCTTAGGCAAAACATCCCTAGTTTGTATACTGTAGTAAGGGGGCCCCTCCTGGCAGTACCAGAATAGGGAAACGAGTTGCATGGCGATGTCTGGCGCAGCGCTGGGCACGAGTACTGCCCTTGACTGCACCCTTCCACTGTTCTAGACCCAACAGTAACCTAGGAATCAAAAGGGTACCCGTTTTGGTTTAAAAGGGGGCATATAAGGGAACCTAAACCCTAAAGAAGGGAATATGGGCCTACCTTTGGGTCCTAGTGTTCTGGTCTGCCTGGTGACTCACTTGGTTCTGAGCATACCCTAAACCCTAAACCCTAAACCCTAAACCCTAAACCCTAAACCAGGCAGGCTTATCTGAGCCAAGGTGCTGCCTTCAGAAGATCCCCATGCATGGGCGTGTCCTTGGCGAAACCCCTTGCTGCTGCACCGCAGGAAGCTGAGGATTGAGGCCCGCACTACAAGGAGGGGCCCCCCTTCCTAGAGTAAGTTTAGGGTTTAGGGTTTAGGGTTAGGTAAGGGATATGCAGGGTCCTTCTAACTCAAACTTTAGAACTAGGGTGGGGGCGGGGCCCTCCTTTAAGGATCCGAACTTTGGCTACATGTCCCTTAACCTTAACTAACCCGAAACCCTAAACCCTAAACCCCAAACCCTGAACCCTAAACCCCAAACCCGCTTTGGCAACAGGCACCGCGTCCGGTCCCTTCCTTGGCCGAGTTGCTGAGTAGAAGAGGAGGAAGGGCGTGTACGTTCCAGCGATGAGAAGATAGATTGCCTGGAGCTGCTTCTAATGGCACTAAACCCTAAACCCTAAACCCTGAACCCTGAACCCTAAACCCTTTGTTTTTTTTGTATCCGGGCTTGGGGAGTCCGCCTGGAAAAACCCTAAACCCTAAACCTCATAAGAGCCGGTGGTATGGCACAAGAGCGCAGCCGGCAGTGTGGTAACAGGAGCCTTGCAGAACATGCACGGTGGACACAAATAATTTGGACCCTGAACCCTGAACCCTGAATCCTGAATCCTGAACCTTTTTTTTACAAGGGACTCGACTGCTGCCCTTACTTCCATGGCCTAAACCCTGAGGGTTTAGGGTTTAGGGTTTAGGTTTTAGGTTTTAGGGTTTAGGGTTTACGGTTTAGGGTTTGGGGTTTAGGGTCTGAACCTTAAAACCCGAAATTTCGGCTCAGTTGCGGCGTGGTCCAGCACTTGCAGAACTCGTGCAGCGACGGGGTACATGAACAGGGAGTGATACCTGCAGCTGCTAGCGATAGGGTTTCGGGTTTAGGGTTTAGGGTTTAGGGTTTCGAAAGGGCTTAGCGTGTAGAAAGTTAATATTGCTGACGGCTTGCTGGGCCCTAGCATCTACGGCACCTCCGCTAACGAACCAAAGCCCATCAGAAGCCCAAACTGCAGCCCTAAACCCCAAACCCGAAAACCAAAACCCTATAAACCCTAAACTCTAAAACCCTAAACCCTAAACCCAAACAAGCAGAACCCAGCAGAAGACCAAGCCGCAGCGTGGAGGAGCCAAAGCAAAAGATGAGGCCGAACCCGAAAATGGCGGTGCCCCAGATGTGGTGCACTGGGCTGTCGGCCACCTTGGGAGATTAATCTTAAGTGAGAGTGTTCCCTTGTTGTGGTTCCCTATAATAATTATAGGAAATGCGACCCCCTCCCCCCAAAAAAACAAAACCTATTGTTATCGTTAAGGCCCCTATATTGGACAGGTGGGTGCTGCAGTTGTGTAGTTGCGGGGGGAGGGGCGAGAATGCGGCAAGATTCTGGATTGTGAACCTACATGAGCTCTGACGGGGGTTTGCATTAACCCTACTAGGGAGTATGGAAGAGCGGGGAATCTCGGACCCCTGAACCCTCAGCCCAAAACCCGATTCTCTAAGCGTGACTCTATAAGCATAGGGTATAGAATCTCAAATCTGAGGTCCATTTGGGTATGTCCCAAAATAGGGGTACCCCTCCTATACCCGATTTTCGAAGGAGGGTTCGGGCCTGGAACCCCTTGGCCGAATTCTGCAACTTTGGCAGGCGGCTGATCAAAGGGTTCGGGGTTCAGGGGTTTAGCCTGTTTAGGTCAGGCTACGTACAGGAACTTACTAGATGCTTACCTGGGGAACGAGGTGCTTCACATGGTCCCGCCTTCGGGTTCCGGTTCAAGCACGGAGCCGTGTATTGAGAATTTCCACAAAAGAAGACCATCCTAAACCCTAAACCCTAAACCCTAAACCCTAAACCCTCTGCTACTTGCACTTGCAGATTGGCTTTCATGGCTTGAGGGCCGCTCCAAGTGCGAAACGCAGCGCCTGGTAGAGTAGATGGCACATCCCGAACAGAGACCTGGGAGGCTAGGGTGTGGCCAGATGATCGGGGTTTGGGGTTGATGATGGTTACCCTAAACCCTAAACCCTAAACCCTCAACTCTAAACCCTAAACCCTAAACCCTAAACCCTAAAACGTTACGAGGGCTCCGCAAACCTTTGTGATGCGACGGTATCTCCGACCCACCTATTTCAATACCCTATTTCAGGGTCAAAAGGCTAGTCTAGGTAAACCCTACTTCTACCCTTCTCTCAGAAAGCATCTGTTGGGCTCGCAATCTCTTGCAAGGATGGCCCTTACAGCCCTCTGATAAAAATCTTCCTCAACATGATCCCCCTAAACCCTATATACAAGGGAACTATGCCCTAAACCCTAAACCCTAAACCCTAAACCCTAAACCCTAAACCCTAAACCCTAAACCCTAAACCCTTATACGAAACATCCTACCTACTTAGGTCGAGGGGCCCCAAGGCAGCATGCAGGCGCATCTTGTGTACAAGGCTGGCCTCTCCAGTCTACAAGAAGCGGTCGCCTTACTATACTAACAAAAGGTAAGGGACTTAGGTCAGGATCCTTAGAACCCAGTTTAGGGTTTAGGGTTTAGGGTATACTAACAAAACTTAAGGGACTTAGGTCAGGATCCTTATAAGAACCCAGTTTAGGGTCCTTTTTGCCAAACCCGAAACCCTAAACTTTAGACCCTAAACCGCTTCCTTGTAGAGCTCTTCATGCACTGTCAGCCCTTCCAATCCCTAAACCCTAAACCCTAAACCCTGAACCCTAAACCCTAAACCATAAACAATGCTGCGCAAGGCACAAGAAGAACATCAGGCCATGCGTGATGGCATTCCACAGCTCCTTTCTGCAGTGGCCAAATGCTCTTTCAAACGGATTCAGGAGTGCTAGGAGTTTAGGGTTTAGTTCTTTAGCCCTAAACCCTCAACCCTCAACCCTAAACCCTAACACCCTAAACCCTAGGAGTAGGAGCGTTGGGGCTTATAGGGTTGATGGCTTTCAGTCTGATCTTGTGGATCAGACAATGGCCAGACATCAAATCGACTGTGGTGCGCAACACCTTCAGGCTCTACTTTGCATCTCTGAGTCTTGCTTCAGGGTGCGTCTTCCAGGCCGAGCCCTAAACCCTAAACCCTAAACCCTAAACCCTAAACCCTAAACCCTGAACCCTAAACCCTTCTTCAACAGAGAGCCCGGGCGCTTCTGTCTCGAAGTTGTCCGCCACGTTGACCAGAGGTGCCCCCTGCCTTGGAAGCCCAAAAGGGTTTAGGGTTTAGGGTTTGGGGTTCAGGGTTCAGGGTTCAGGGTTTGGGGTTTTGGGGTTTGGGGTTTGGGGTTTGGGGTTTAGGGTTTAGGGTTTGGGGTTCAGGGTTCAGGGTTTAGGGTTTGGGGTTTAGGGTGTTTAGGGTTTAGGGTTTAGGGTTCAGGGTTTAGGGTTTGGGGTTTAGGGGCCCGGTTTGGGGACCATGTGCCCGAATAGGGAAGTACCTCCAGCGTCCGGGGCCCCTTACAACGACATTTGTTCATGCCTTGCAATGCTAAGAACCTTCGCTGCCAACACGGGGGCATGGGATTGGGGTTTAGGGTTTAGGGTTTCTTGGTGCACTAAGTCAGGCATCACGAGCTCCAATTGGCAATATGACTGCCTGAACTACCGACAACCCCCCAGCCCTCTTCACTAACTCTGAACCCCAAACCCTAAGTCCTAAACCCTAAACCCTAAACCCTAAACCCTAAACCCTAAACCCTAAACCCTAAACCCTACATGAGGCAGTAAACTTAATACCAAACCCCTCAACCGGCCAAAGCCCTAAAACCTAAACCTAAACCCTAAACCCTAAACCCTAGACCTAGAAACCCTAAACCCTAAACCCTAAACTCTAAACCCTAAACCCTAAACCCATCTGGGCTCGCAGCGCGGGCCAGAACGCCTACACCCTAAACCCTAGAAACTAGAAACCCTAAACCCTGAACCCTAAACCCTAAACCCTAGCCCTAAACCCTAAACCCTGAACCTCCAAGCAGGTTCCTGCTGCACTCCTCGCGCAACTTCAAGGCTTGGCAGCCCCAAAGGGTTCCATCAACAACTAGCTAGGGTTTAGGGTTTAGGGTTTAGGGTTTAGGGTTTAGGGTTTAGGGTTTAGGGTTTAGGGTTTAGGGTTTAGGGTTTAGGGTTTGGGGTTTGGGGTTTGGGGTTTAATTAGGGTTTAGGGCTTAGGGTTTAGGCTTTAGGGTTTAGGGGTTCAGGGTTTAGGGGTTCAGGGTTCAGGGTTTGTAGGGTTAAGGGTTAAGGGTTTAGGAGTTTAGGGTTAAGGTTTCAGGGTTGAGAGTTAGGGTTTAGAGGTTATGCAGTAGCCATCTTTTGAGAAACGGGCACCTTGTTATTGTTGTGCTGTTTGTTGTCGGGTAATTTCCCTCAATCAGCTGTTCTGAAGGAACACAGAGCCCAGGGTAAAAAGTTTCCTAGACAAGACGAGCTCAAAAAAACTATGGCTCAAGTCCTAAACGGTCTAATTACCCAGACCCCTGGGAGGATACAAAAAGTAGATCCCCTTAAGGGTTCCTAAAAAAAAAACAAGTAGTCCAGGGTACTATTTGGGGGTTCAACTTTTTGGATCCTCCCAGGGGTCTGGGTAGGGATCACCTTACCTGCTGGGCAACCACGTGGCTGGGACGAGGCCACCGTCCGTGAGTAGATGGATTTCAGACCAGCCACCTCTGACACACATAGAGTTTATGGTCCAATTTTAACCCGAATACAAGGAGGGCCCCCCCAACCCCTCCTAGTTTCTAAGTAGAGTTCTCAGGACCCTGAATTGGGTTAAAAGGATCCTAGCTTAGGTTATAAGTCCCTTACCCCTAAACCCTAAACCCTAAACCCTCAACCCTAAACCCTAAACCCCTCCCAGTTTCCGCCTGCGCAAGCTGGCGAATGCAGCCAGAACCAATGGAGCCTCATGGACCGCATCCAGCGTTTTGGAGTTGAGGTTTTAGGGTTTGGGGGTATACATTCGTTAGGGTTTGGGGTTTGGGGTTTGGGGTTTGGGGTTTGGGGTTTGGGGTTTGGGGTTTGGGGTTTAGGGTTTAGGGTTTAGGGTTTAGGGTTTAGGGTTTAGGGTTTAGGGTTTAGGGTTTAGGGTTTAGGGTATACATTCGTTTAGGGTTTGGTTTGGGCTTTTTTTTGCCACCCGCCTAGCTGATGCAGAACATCGCACTGTTAGGGTTTAGGGTCTAGGGTTCAAGGTTCACTAGTTTCATGGCGTCTTTTCTCAGGGTTTATCTGCGCAAGCGCCCGAAGTGAAAACGACTGGCGTGCTACCGGCAGGTCGAATGGTGCTTTCTGCAGAAGGCTATATGTCAGGACTGAAAGGATCCATCAGGCTTCTCTTGATATGGTCTGCAAGATATTCAAAAAACCCTAAACCCTAAACCCTCAACCCTCAACCCTAAACCCTAAACCCAACTGGACTGGAAGATGATCTATCAGGCTTTGAAACCGACCTCGTGCCGGGTGTACCCACATTGCGGGGCAGCAGACAGGTGTATGGGCATCCCATCTGCCCATCTGAAACTCAACAGCCTGACACACTTGTCCCTGTTCCTCCTAGAAGGCGAACAGGTAGCCTAAACCCTAGAAACCCTAAACCCGAAACCCTAAACCCTATGTGACCATGAGTTCATAATGTGGTCTTCATTGAATTGGGCATGCCGGGTCTTAGCTGGGAATAGGGCAGTTAGGCACCGTATATCCCCCTGTACCCTTTAATGGATACGATGGAGGGTTCCCTCATTCCCTAAGAACCCTAAACCCTAAACCCTAAACCCTAAACCCTAAACCCCCCCTATCTGCAAGCCAAAGAACAGGCTGACACGTCCAAGATGCGGAGGCTGGTGGAGCCTATGCTTGCAGCTGCGTTTTTACAGGCGGTGGGTGGGGTTTGGGGTTTGGGGTTTGGGGTTTGGGGGTTTGGGGGTTTGGGGGTTTGGGGGTTTGGGGTTTGGGGTTTGGGGTTTGGGGTTTGGGGTCTTGGGGCTTGGGGCTTGGGGTTTGGGGTTGGGGGTTTGGGGTTTGGGATTTGGGGTTTGGGGTTAGGGTTTAGGGGGGTTCAGGGGGGTTTAGGGTTTAGGGTTTAAGGGGGTTTTGGGGGGGGTTTAGGGGGGTTTAGGCTTTAGGGTTTGGGGTGAGCAAGCGCGGAAGGTCTGGTAGCTGGCCTCCTGGACCTGCTTCTTGAATCAGCCTGGGCTGGGTCTAAACCCTAAACCCTAAACCCTAAACCCTAAACCCTAAACCCTAAACCCTAAACCCTAAACCCGAATCCCGAAACCCTAAACCCCAAGCTTCGGGTGTCAAGGGCACGCTCTAGGGCCTCGATGCTGCTTGCGCTCCCGCATGGCAGAGTTTTCGACTCTCAAATTGATTCCCTCTAAAATAGGCCCTAAACCCTAAATCCTAAACCCTAAACCCTAAACCCTAAACCCTAAACCCTAAACCCTAAACCCTAAACCCTAAACCCCTCAGCCTGCCGAAGCATAGGCTTCCAGTGCTACTGACTGCACTCCCATACTCTAGCAAGCCCATCAACAGGTATAGCTTCAGACAGTGACCCGAAACCCCGAACCCTAAACTCTATAAACCCTAAACCAGAGGGCCTCAGTTTGAGAATGCTCAGGGTGCAGGCGACCCTCAAAGAAAGACCCATGGCCTCAGTACTGCCTTGAACCCGGAGGCTGTTTAACGGCATCTGTTCAAGCAGTCTCTGAGGCAGCAGGCTTCACGATAGGTCAGCCAGCAAGGACTAGGGCTTGTGAACCCAAAACCCTAAACCCTAAGCCCTTAACCCTAAACCCTACCCTAAAGGGTTTTGGGTCTTTATTTGTTTCTTCGGGCTTTAGGGTAAGAACACACGCTGTCCCAATTTAGGGCCCGAGGGTTCTAGGCCCTTCGCGGGGCTCCCCGACCCAGGAATCGCCCTAAACCCTAAACCCTAAACCCTAAACCCTAAATCCTAAACCCTAAACCCCAAACCCCAAACCCTAAACCCTAAACCCTAACCCCGGCCTATTTGACCAAGGCAAGAGTCTCTGCGACCAACTGCACGAGCAGCTGTCCCCCCTTCGCACGCTTCTGGCGCATGCGCATATATGTAAACATGTGCATATGTGAACGTGCATATACACACGCACGTACACACACACACATACGTGTATATTACATATACATATACATATACATATACATACATGTACACATATACACATACACATATGCACAAACACATACAAATAGAAGTGAAATTTGATTCAGGCATGTACATATACGCTCCGGGATATATTCTGATCTACTTCCATGCATGTAGTTGCTCTTAACAGGGTTTCATATTGACAGACATGTGTGTGTGAGCGTGTGCTTTGTGTGTTTTAGAGCAAGAATCCCCTTTTGTCCACCCGGGGCTGCTGTTCTTGTCCCTTTAAGTAACCCTTACCTTGCTTTGTCCCTAGGCTCTGAGCATCAGCTGTGACAACCAAGCACCCGTCAAGCCCTAAACCCTAAACCCGAAATCAGCTATGGTCAGTTATATGGTTAGTTCTCTAAATTATGGTCCCTTTTGGGGTACCCTAAATAAGAGGGGCCCGCCTTAAACAGGACCCCAAAAGGGACCACAACTTGTGGTCGGGGATCCCTCGGACGTAGAAGCCCCCAGCCTTCGGACCGAGGTAGTTGCCCCTGGCAGGGCTTAGGTTCAGGGGGCAGACGCCATGGGAAGCAGAGTTGCTCTTGAGTTTTTTTATGCTTTTTTTTTTTGGGGGGGGGGGGGGGGGGGGAGGGGGGTATAGGGTTTAGGGTTTAGGGCCTTTATGGGGGCAGGAGAAGGATTGGCAACATTTGTAGATGCAGGCCGTGGCAGCTCCGAGGCTCCACGTGCCAAAAGGATCCACGGAGGAGACCGGTGCAAGAAAGGACAGATCTCATGCCTAAGCCATCGTACTCATCCCCCGCAAAGAAGCCTCTTTAGGGGGGAGGGGGGGAGGGGGACGGGAGTGAGGGGCGAGCTGTGCCCTGCCTGGCTTGGCTTCCCTAACCCTCAACCCTAAACCCAGCAATCATCTTCTGAGTTTGGACTACTGGGGAGGGGGGAGCTATGCCCTGCCCCAAACCCTCAACCCTCAACCCTAAACCCAGTAATCATCTTCTGAGTTTGGGCTGCAGACACTAGGCCAATCGTCTTGCCCTCTGGTAGCCTCAAGATCAAGCTCTTCAGCGTGGTATTCCGCCGCAGGCCCTGTGGAAACGGATTGGTTGCTGAAAGCGTTGTGGGTCTAGGGTTTCGGGCTTAGGGTTGCTTTTTTTCCGGTGAGGAATAAACGGTGTCAGCTAGTTATAGGGACCCTAAATTGGGCAATAAGGATCCTAACTTAGGTTATAAGTCCCTGAACTATAGTTAGGAAAGTAAGGGGGCCCTCCTTGTGCATGCAAAAGTTGTATGTTATGTCAACGGGTGTATCAACAGTTGCAGTTACCATTGTAACCTCCCAAATCCACGGACCCATTCGATTCTACTTTCAAACAGGACAAGAAACCCCCCAAGAGCAACCTTTGTACCCTTAAAAAAAGGTTCTGTACTTTCGTAGTTGGGAATCCACACTTTTGCAAGGTAATGGGTTGCTCCAGGTACACGAAGTGATGAAACAAAGGACGAGAGACCTTGCAAATATCCTCAATGCCGTCGCTGTCGATTCCTGCACCCACGTTCTGGTTTAGGGTTTAGGGTTTAGGGTTTAGGGTTTAGGGTTTAGGGTTTAGGGTTTAGGGTTTAGGGTTTAGGGCACATCCAGGCTTCCGACCTTTCGACCCTACAAGCCCTGTAAGCCTTACGTACAAAGACATCCTTAAGATCCGTAAACTCCATCAGCCGTATCAACTCTGTGAGCCCTAAGACCCTGCAAACCCTATGAGCCCTATGAACCCAACAAGCCGTAGAAACCCTACAAGCCCTGAAAACTCTGCAAACCCTACAGAATCTATAAACCCGACTCCCACATCCCAAATCAACACTTCTCGTGTCCCAAGTTCGGCCAAAACCCCTGCCATTCAGACCTCAGGTCCCTTCTGCAAGGGTTTTAGGGTTTAGAGCTTAGTGACGCGCTTTCCTACAGTAGGTCCCTTCCTTTGCAGGGGTTCAGGGTTTAGGGTTTAGGGTGCCCATGGAGCCGCAGGTTCACCAAAAAGCGCACGGAAATGTTGCATGGGCCGCTCCCGCGTGACCCAAGTCGAGAATCTCCAGAGAGCTGTTCCGCTCCAGGATATATCCTGGGTTTAGGGTTTAGGGTTTTAGGTTTTAGGGCTTAGGGTTTAGGGTTTAGGGTGCCTGCAGCTAAATTTCAGGGCTTTGGGTTGAGGATTTAGGGTTCAGGCAAACCCTAAACCCGAAACTCTAAGCTCTAAATCGTGTTGGAGCGTTCTTCTCCTCAAGGCACGGATGGAAGAATAAGGGTTGAAATAAGCGCGCAGCCCTAAAGTCTAGCCGCGTGGCATTTCGAACAACTCTCGAGTCTGTACCTCTGAGGGTCTACGACTTTTGGCTTCTTCATCCATATGTTGCCCTTATACAAGGAAGAGTCTTTTGTGGGGGGGGGGGGGGGTTCTGAAAAGGAATTTGTAGTTTAGGGTTTCCTGCAATCTGCGCCTCTATGCACGAAAGGCTGGCAAGAGAAACGGTTCTTCTTAGCATGCCTACAGTGAGGCTGGCGCAAACCTGTGAGCAATCCGCGAGCTCCCAAGTCGTGGCCGATAATGTTGAGAGACCCCGGCCACCACATCTGCCAAGCCCTGACACCCTACAAGCCCCAAACTGTAAGCTAACTTTACAAACACACACACACACACACACACACACAACCCTTTCAAGACGAACTACCGTCACGGATCCTAAAAATGGGCCCAAAGAACAGTTGAACTACAAGGACGGGCCCCCCCTAATTAGAAGTGGAGTTATAAGGACCCGACATTGGGGTATAAGGATCCTAACTTAGGTGACAAGTCCCTCAACTACAGAATAGTAAGGGTGCCCCTCTTTGGTTGCACAAGCCCTCGAAAACATCACAGTGCGAGACAGGTTGCGCAGAACGCGCCTCAGTTCTGGATGCTGGCAAGGAACATTCTGCTTGCGTTTGTTCAAGGACCCCCACCCCCCCACCCCCCAACAACAAATCCTTACAAGGGCAATATAGGGATTTTTCGTTTAGTATTCTGTATTTGATGGGTCCTTAAACAAATCGTAGTCTTGGGTTGTAGTGTTGGGTTGCCGTGAGGCACCTTAAGTTTCCTTTCCAGAACTGCGAGCCCATGTTATTTCCTGTATGTACAGCTTATGGTACATTACCTACGTTCCTCAACAGCAAGCCCCTAAACCTTAAACCCCAAACCCCAAACCCCAAACCCCAAACCCTAAACCCTAAACCCTTTAAACCCCTAAACCCTGAACGAGCAAGCGCTGTATGGGATCCCGGGTCCGTGACAGGGGCCTCTCGCACCCCTTCACAGGCTGCCCTGTTTTTCATCCGCCTCCACAAGAACAAAAAAGGAAAAAGGGTTTAGGGTTTAGGGTTTAGGGTTTAGGGTTTAGGGTTTAGGGTTTCGGGTGACCCAAGTGTAGCCTAGGAATAAAAGGGTACCCTTTTTGGTTTAAAGGGGCTTGTGATGGAACCTAATTACACCATAAAAAGGGAGTAAGGGCCTGCTTTGGGAATAAGGAATAAGGCAACCCAACACATGAAACAAAAGAGTCTACCAATACTTTATGGAGAAGCAACGGGTAACATGTCGGTATCTTTCGAACCGGTAGATTACATCCATGTAGTCTGAAGAGAACCCGACATCTCCATGGAAACGTCTTATCGAAACCGTGCGTGGGTGGCTGGAGCCTTAGCGACACCACCCTATCTGCAATTGGCCAATCCTCCAAGCGCGGGGGTCTTCCTGTCAACCCTAAACCCCTAAACCCTAAACCCTAAAACCAACCCTAAACCCTAAACCCTAATCCCCAAACCCCAAACCCTAAACTTAATGGGGGGCGACCTGCTTTTGTTCCGACTGTTCCGACTCTTACCTTCGCGGGAAGCTCGGAAGGCCCCGACAGCGGTTTAGGGCTTATAGGGTTTAGGGTTTAGGAGGGTTCTGAGGCATGTTGCCTTGCTACTGTATTTTGTTTAGGGTTGAGGGTTTAGGGTTTTGCGGTTTGTAGGGTACTTGGAGTTCTTAGGCATTTGGCCTTCACACAGAACATGAGGGGGCTCTATTGCTGGAATACTTATAAATCACTGATAAGCCCCTTAAGTACCCTAATAGGGTCATCATGGGTTATGAGTACAGTTCTAATTGGCTTAAACCCTAAACCCGAAACCCGGAAGGACGTTTTGTAGCAAGGCGGCGCGTTCGCGTTGCCCGTTCCGCGGGGGGCGTAGGAGGCCCGGAAGCCGAGCTGCCGCAAACCTCGGCAATGTTTTCTTGGATCTATCTTTGTAATGGCTAGTCGGTATAGAATAATATTAAAATAGATACTCCAAAAAATTGGAACTACAATTAAAGGATCTTTCTAATGGCTAGTTGGTATAGTATAATATTAAAGTAGGTACTCCAAAATAAATATGTAACTGCAATTCAATTTTAAAGTCCAGGTGAGAAGGTTGCGGGATAGCGGACACCTGACTATCAGGTTTTTGGAAACGATCGTTTCAAGTGCAGCAGTGCAACTGCTATTCACCAGTATGCCCGTTACGCGAGGCATTCCAAACCCGTACAGTCTCAAACTGCATCCGTCATGGCTTGTGCAGCGCATCTCAAATGCCAGTTGATCACTCCACTACATGGCTTTATTCTGTTATCGGTGGTTTTTGCAAGCCGATTTCGATCTTGAGTCTTCACCGCATGTACTGCCAAACCGCCTTTACAAAAAAACCTAAACCCTAAACCCTAAACCCTAAACCCTGAATCCTGAACCCTACACCCTAAACCCTTTTTTGCATAAACCCTAAACCCTAAACCTCCAGCTTGCAGTCGCACCAAGCAACTTTCACTTTCGGCCAGGAAGTCGCAGGCTGGTAGGAGGCAGCTTTCACATGGCACCTCTCCGGATTGAGGGTTGCGTTTAGGGTCTAGGGTTTAGGGTTTAGGGTTTAGGGTTTAGGGTTTAGGGTTTTCTTGATTTGCGGATGTCAGTCTTGAGTACGGTAGTATAAAGGCTTCATGACTGTAGCTCCTCGTAAAATGGACGGGGTCAACTCTACATCCTGGCATGACTCGTCTCTTTACGCCCTCCCTACCATCCCTATCCGACGAAAATCTGCCAGTCAGTTTAGGGTTTGTAGGGTTTAGGCCAAACCACAAACCCTAAAAACTAAACCCACAACCCTGAACCAAGGGATGTTCCCCCTTAATAGGGATTATAAAAAGGGGGGGGGCACTATAAACCCGATTAAGGACTGTTAGTAGAAGGGGGAGCATCCCAACCCTAAACCCTAAACCCTAGCCCTAAACTCTAAACCCTGAACCAGGGGATCCCTATCAAGGACTGTTAGTATAAGGGGGAACATCCCCAGCCCTGAACTCTATGCAGCTCGGACATGGCAGTCTGTGGCAGTCGTGACCATTTGTTTAGGGTTTAGGGTTTAGGGGAAAGTCCTTAAAAGGATTCCTAAACCCAAAACCCTACACCCAAAAACCCCTTGTAAATCCCCTGATAAGGGCACCCTCGTTGAGTCCCTCAGCCCAAGGGGTCCCCGATGTGCCTGAAGGCACGACCCACCCAGACGGAGCCAAACAGCAATGGCCGGCTCAACCGGAAATCCCAGACTACCTGGGCTTAGGGTTGAGTGGTTTAGGGTTTAGGGTCAGGGGTTTAAGGGGTTTAGGGTTAGGGGTTTGAGGGGTTTAGGGTTCATGAGCACATTCGGATGCGCGGCTTCCGTTGCGAGGGCTTCCAGGAGCTCCATCAAAGAGGGGTCTAAGTACAATGCGTATTATGTCAGGAAGTTTGTATCGCAATCATGCAGGGGGCTTAAAGGGATAGCAGCAGGCTCCAGCACTGCATGCCTTTTGCCCCTGATGCCAACAATCCATCCTTCCGCCTCACATCCTAAGTTCGACTCCCCACACCTGCATGCCCCTTCGAACTCAAAAAAAAGTAATATGTTTCGTAATCTGTTGAATGTTCCTTTGGGTTTTGTAGAACAAGAAATAACAAACTAATTCTTAAGGGGGTTATAGACACGAGGTCATAGCCGGTTATCAGCTATACCCCAGTTAAAACTACCCCAGCGCCTTCCAGGCCGATTCCCAAACCCTCAGCAAAGGCCGGACATTGCCTTAACCTGGCTAACTAGGGGGTCCCTCATAGGGATTCTAATATGGGAAGGGGGGGGGGGGGGGTACTAGAATCCCTATTCAGGACTGTTAGTATACTGGGATGGCCCTTAAAACCCTTTGAAAAAACATTCCTGTCTCTGATCCTCTTAAACCCCATAAGGGAAAATCTACAATGAAGGGCCTACCTAGTATAAGGGGAGAATACCCTAAACCCTAAACCCTAAACCCTAATAAACTCGGAACGCCCGATAAGTGACAGCAGGGTTGCGGCAAGACTCTGCGTAGACCTGCGCCTTTCGCAAGGCGCCACCACCTAGTACAGGGTTAGGGTTTAGGGTTTAGGGTTTAGGGTTTAGGGTTTAGGGTTTAGGGTTTAGGGTTTAGGGTTTAGGGTTTACTGTAGGGTTTAGGGTTTAGGGTTTAGGGTTTAGGGTTTAGGGTTTAGGGTTTAGGGTTTAGGGCTACTCAAGCCAGGAAGTCAGGGGTGCGGGGCATCCGAATGGGTAGTTCCCCGAACCTCCCCGGGGTCCTTAGCTAGGCGCCCGGATTTCTGCCATGGAAGAGCAGGTATGCAGTCGCGATTCATTCATTGGGACCCTTTGGGAACGACACAAACAAGACTTTGTTTAGTTTAGGGTTTAGGGTTTAGACCCTTCCCTCGACACTCAAGTCTCAAGTCTTTGAACCTCTTTGACTTTGGGGTTTGGGGCCTTCTATCTGGTAAATCGCAGCCGAACCCTGAACACACGCGCACACACCAACACAGACACACAGACACAGACACACAGACACAGACGCAGACACACACACACACACACACACAGACAGACACAGAGACACACACACACACACGCACGCACACGCACACGCACACACACACACACACAGACACAGAGACACACAGACACACACACGCACACGCACACACACACACACACACGAAGCGATGGCGCACTGAAACCAAGCATTTGGTTTGGGGTTTGGGGGTTTAGGGAACGACACCACTGGGGATCGTGGTCTCGACGCCGAGGGGCTCGAGGGACTAAGGGGCAAGTCTTCTGAGGTCCTTGGCTGTGGCGTGGCCGGTTTCTAGGTTTAGGGTTTGGTTTAGGGTGTAGGGTTTAGGGTTTAGGGTTTAGGGCTTAGGGTTTAGGGCTTAGGGCTTAGGGTTTAGGGTTTAGGCGGGTTTAGGCTTAGGGCTTCGGGCTTCGGGTTTAGGGTTTGTGGTTGAGGGTTCAAGGCTTCCTCAACTTCCTGCCTCTAGTTTCCTTGGAGCAAGTGGTCAAGACTGGTTTTGGGGTACCGAAGCCAGTCTCTCTCTCTCTCTATATATATATATATACATACATACATACATACATATACAGATGTATATATATATATATACATGAATATATCTATCTATCGACCTATGTATATGCAAGAAAACACATAAAGTAAAGAAGTAAATGAGTATATATATATATATATAAAACACATTCATATATATATATATATATACATATTTATATTTATATTTATATTTATATATATATGTATTTATATATATATATGTATATGTGTGTGTGGATGTGTACATTTCCTTGAATGTATAATTACCTGCAATTACGCATATGCTATGGAGCTCTGGAAAGGGGGCTCAGCCACCTTTCTTCGGGGTTCGGTAAAGCTCCGGTTCTTCTATCCTGGAAAGCGCGTGAAAATGCTGAAGGAATCGTCAAGAGTGCTGATCTCTTTTTGCCTCTTTGGTTTTTATACTGCTGCTGGCGTTCTTTTATGCCTGCGGCTGCTCCCGGGCCTCTCATCATGCAAGAAGGTGCAAAACAACCCTAAACCCCAAACCCCAAACCCTAAACCCCAAACCCTAAACCCTAAACCCGGGACGAGTAGCTCCTTGCCCAGCGCGCTCTCCTCCGGCTGCGTCATGCTGGAGGCAAGCGCCGGCAAGTCGTGAACTCTTATACAGGTATCCCCTTCTTTGCCTGTTTCGCTCTGCTATTATCTGGGTTGGCCTTGAAACCCTTTGACAAAAATTGTACATAGGGCCCCTTATAAACCTAAATAAGGCAAACGAACAATGTCCCAAAAGCCAACCAAGGTGTAGAACATGGGGCCAGGATGTATGGCGACGCATTCATGGGTCACAGCGCAATGCTTGACAGTGGACCGCGAGGCAGCCGGCAGCCAGAAAGCAACATGTCGGGAGCTGACGGTTCAGGGTTAAGATGTACATCAGGGTTTAGGGTTTAGGGTTTAAAGGGTTAGGGTTTGGTGTTTACGGCCTGTTAGGAATTGGGTTAGGGGATGAGCGCTTTAGGGTATAACATTCCAGGCGTGCAGTCGGACCCCTTTTGCCTAAATGCCTAAGCTCTGTGATCCTGCTCCGGGTGCCCTAAACCCTGAACCCTCAACCTAAACCCTTAAACCCCAGAACCCTAAACCCTAGACCCTAAAACCCCAAAAACCCTAAAACCCCAAAACCCTAAAACCCATGCCCATGGTGTGGTGCATGTCCAAGTCCGGCGCTTCTCCTCATACTCCTGGAACTGCCTGAGCAAACGCAGCCCCAACCCCAAGCCCTCGCGTTTAGGGTTTCGGGTTTAGGGCTTAGGGTTTACGGTTTAGGGTTTAGGGCTACCCTCACCCCGTACGATATTCAACCCGAATGGTTCGGTCCAGCTGAAGAGCAAACAGGCTTCCACCACCTGATGCCCTCAAGCCATGCAATCCCCATGCCCTTGCGCCTACACCCTACTGTAAGCCCTCACCCGAAAGCCGCATCCATAGACAGAAACCCTAAACCTTGAGCCCTGGGCAACAACTCCTCACAAGCCTTGAATGGTCGAGAGGCTTCGCAGTCCGGGGTTTCAACTTCAGGACTGGGGTTTAGGGTTTGGGTTTTGAGGTCACATCCAAAACAAAACAAACCCTAAACCCTAAACCCTAAACTCGAATTTCGACCTTAACGCTTTGCAAGGGACTCCCGCTCTCCCCCTCCACCCAAAACGCTGCAACGACCTAACAGGTTCTGGGCAGATGTTGGGCAGCTTGGGGGGGGGGTACATTTGGCCCTACCGCTCCTAGCGATCAGAAAGCCCCAAGCCTCCCCAAGCCCAAGCCCCCAAGCCCGCCCCCCAAACCCCCCCCAAGCCCCAACCCAAAACCCCCCACCAACCACACCCCACACCCCACACCCCAAACCCCAATCCCCACACCCCAAACCCCACACCCCAAACCCCACACCCCACACCCCAAACCCCTAAGCCCCAAAGTGCCCCCAAAACGTAACGAAGAGTTCCAAGGGGCGCTTCCAGGAGCGAAGGGTCTAGGAGACCCTGAGCACCCTCCATCTCATCGAGGTGCCTGAACCGCTCAGGGGGTTTAGGGTTTAGGGTTTAGGGTTTAGGGTTTAGGGTTTAGGGTTTGGGGTTTGGGGTTTAGGGTTTAGGGTTTAGGGGGTGCCCCCCTAGTTATAAGTAGAGTGATACGGACCCTGAATTGGGTGTAAGTCCGAAATTGGGTTATAAGGATCCTAACTTAAGTTATGAGCCCGTGAACTATAGGCTGTAGTTGGTATACTCAGGGGGCTTGTCCGTGTGGGCTTTAAGATTCAACTGTAACTGTATGCTGTGATGAGCCAACATGATTTCAGGGTGTCGGGCGGCAGGGGGCTTCATGGTCTTAAATTATCCCCGAACCCTCTAGGCCGGAATATCCTGTGACATGTATTACATTGCGGTTCCTGTTGTTCCTTCCCGAGCTACGGTAGCAGGACTCTATAACCCTAAACCCTAAGCCCTAAACCCTAAACCCCGAACCTGTCGTGAAGGGCGCCTCTTTGGAGAATTCTGGAGGGCAGTTGTTGCACAGGCGTATGGTGCAGAGGTCAAGCCCGCTGCCTCGAAACCCTGAAGACCTGCACTCCCCAAAGGGTTTAGGGTTTAGGGTTTAGGGTTTAGGGTTTCAAGTCTGCATCCGAAACTTGATGAAAGCAAGTGAGCCCAAAAGCGGAGACACGTCAAGCCCCGAATCGAACACCATGAGCCCCAGTGGCAAAGAGAGTGCCGCCAGCTCGGACGCCGACATCTCCGTGGACAGATAAGCAGACTGCACAGGGACGCACAAAGACCCACAGCGGCCCCTTGCCAACCAACTGTCAAGAGAATTTCTTGGGGCCAAGTAAGGAGGGGTTCCTTGCCCCAAATAATCCCCACAGTGCCCTTAAAAGGAAGGATACTTTGTGGGGGGTCCTTAAGCAAATAGTAGGGCTGAGGGTTTAGGGCTTCGGAAGAGGGAACTACGCGCAGGTACCCTGCTGGAACCATGTCGATGCAAGGTACGTACTAGGCCTGAAAGATCTTGAACAGCCGATTCACGTAAGCACTGCAACGACAGTCCTAAACCCTAAACCCTAAACCCTAAACCCTAAGCCCTAACTGTAAACCCTGAACCCCAAACCCTTAACCCTAGGGGTTTTGGGTAGGACCACCCCTCCCCCCTCGACCAGAATCCTTGCCACCTCTTCCTCCTCCTCTTGGAGCCGCCGCGCCAAGAGCTCATCCTTCCACTGAAAGGCTCTCTGGGTTTTCTGCAAGCACTCTCTGCAGCAGCAGGCTTCACGCTTTGGTAAGGGTTTAGGGTTTAGGGCTTTAGGGCTGAGGGATGGGTAGTCCTGAGTAGGGTTACATGTACCCCCCCAAATATTGCCCTAGCTACCCTACTTGCAACCCCTAACGAATATATGACCATGAACTTCGCGGTCGGCTGAGGTTCATAGAGAGGCTGCAGGTTCGGGCGTAGGGTTTTCCTCTTGATAGGAAATGGGGGGAATTAAGTACCTTTTTCCCTCCCTTACATACCCTTTAATTAGGGTGCCGAAGTACCTCATTCCCTGCTCAGAACCTGTAGGATTTCGTAAGGGCTAAGTAGGGCTTAGCGTTTTGGGCTCTTGCGTTGGGCTAGGGTTCGTGGACCCCTTCACCCTAAACCCTAAACCCTAAACCCTAAACCCCTAAACCGACCTCAGTGTCGGCAGACGTCGAGGCAGATCCGGCCGCAGTCGATGGGAGGCTGCCTCTGAAAAATGGATTTCTGGGAAAAGCTTATTGTAGTAAGGGTTTAGGGTTAAGGGTTAAGGGTTTAGGGTTTAGGGTTTAGGCTTGAGGTTTCTTGGTAGCCCAGTAACCATATTGTAGTTAGTGTAATTAGTGCTTACTTTCTAAGGGAACCTGGAACCAAAAAAAGGGGTAAAGGGTACCACCGACCTACCAAGTGGGGCTGAGTTCTGTTTAGGCTTGCTGCAAGTGGTTCGTAGAGGGCTCAGGGAAAGAGTGCTTAGGCTTTCGGGTGTAGGGCTCAGACTTTCGGGTCTGGAGCAACGGACATCAGGGTTGGCTCCAGGATGGGGAGGATCGAGTCGAAGGGGTGCCTTGTGACGAGGTTGAGGGCTACCGGGGCGCCCTTAGGGGGGGATTCGCTGGGGGCCAGCGCTGTACCTGAAAGCCGTTGCACTCTAAGCCCCTTGCAACCCTTTTGCATGGGGACAGGCTTGCGCAGCCTACAGACCCAAACCCTATACACCGAAGAGTGCAAAAAGCCAACAACCCTAAAGTAGTAAAAGCTACCGACATGTAGGCTTTTCTCATCGGATCTCTGTGCAGAGATGGGGGAGCTCAAGGCTCTGCATCTGAAGGGTTTAGTTGTTAGGGGTGGAGTTGGGGGGGTTCAAGTAGGGCTTCAGGAAGGTTTCGGGTCTCCAACCCTACACAGCATGCATGCAGAAACCCCTCCAAGAAAGCCACACATTGCCCACCTTAGAAGGCATCCTAAACCCTAAACCCTAAACCCTAAACCCTAAACCCTTTTTTGGTCAAACCTGGACTCTGAAGTACTGCCAGGAAGCAGGGGGGAGCATGCTCAACACCACTCCCTAAGCCCTCTAAACCCTTCAAACCCTAAACTTTGTCATACCGGGGCCTTAACAATTAGAATAGGGCTTTGGAGGGTTATCATAGTATAATTACAAAGGGGCAATCAGGGCATCATACTAGTAAATATTCCGACCCCTATTTTCGTCCCCAAGCCTTCAAACTCGAGCCTCCTTCAGTCAGCTCGATTGCCGCACTCCCGGCGCTGGCGCGCTGGAAGCGGTTGCCTGGCAACTGCTTGTCTGGTTTGCAGGGTGGCGGTTCGCAGCTTCACATAACACTATAGCAAGAACTCGTACTGCTATGAATTATCGTCTGATTCTGGCAAAAACCAGGCCCAAGAGTTAAGATAGAAATACAAGGGTGCCCTTTTTGCTACGGGCCTACTCTGGGTCCGAGACAAGGGAATCTTCACAGTGAGTAACGGCATCGGTGAGACTAGGATAAGCACACCCGAAACTCCTACATCCCTAACCCCCTTCGAAACCCCACTCAAGCCTTTCTGGCAAGAATAGCCCGCAACAACAAGTCTTGGACCCAGAGATATACCTTGAACTCAGACAGACCCAAAACCCCTTCCGCAATAGCCCTAAACCCTAAACCCCACACCCCAAACCCTAAACCCTAAAGTCTAAACCCTATACCCTAAACCCTACCTGTCTTCGCACCCTCCGGCGCGATGGGGAGGTCTTCGACAGGCAGGCTCGAGCCTGCCAAGCTAGGTTTCCCTAAACCCTAAACCCTAAACCCTAAACCCTAATTGGAATAGGCCAGGATGGCTTGGCTGCCTTGGACGGCATGGGGTGCCACACCGGGCCTGAGCTACTCTTCGCACCTGGCGAAACTGTTGAGCCTCTTCAATTTCTGCCTCCTAACCTTCACAGCATCTGCGCCGCGTCACAGCTAACCCCCTAAACCCTAAACCCTAAACCCCTGAATCTCATGCCCGAATGGGCCAGGCCCCGAACCTCAGCTCTCTGAACATCAAGCCCTCCATGGAGACTTTTTGGGCAACTTAGGGGGCTTCAGACGGTTTAGGGTTTCTGGGATTGTAGCCCTAAACCCGAAACCCTAAACCCCAAACCCTAAACCCTAAACCCTAAACCCTAAACCCCAAACCCTAAAACCTGAACCCACGAATTCTTGGGGCTTGTGGCCAACCAGGGAACCCAGGTCGCCATGTCCGGACATGAGGAGTAGCTCTGCGGCACGATCCTCGAGGCATTGCGGGGGTTTAGGGTTTAGGGTTTAGGGTTTAGGGTTTCGGGTTTAGGGTTTAGGGTTTCGGGTTTAGGGTTGAGGAGCTGCAAGGCTTAGTCTTCTGAGCCCCTCAACGGATATGCCCTAAACTACCATTTGCTTCTGAACCCCCCCCCCCCCAAAACAAAAAAAAAGCGCTATCCTTCTAAGGTCAGTATGGAGAGTCTTATTCTCTATTTTTGGTGTGGTTCTTAGGCAAATGGTAGATGAACCCCAAAACATGATATACCCCATGAAACCCCAAAAAATAACCCAAGCCCTGGACATCAAAGTTCAGGTAGCACTAAACTCCAACCTCCCGAATCCTTGGACCCAGCAGGGCATTCCCAAGATGGGGATCCTTCCTAACACCCCCCCCCCCCCGCCCTCCAGAAAAAAAGATAGTAATAGTAATACTAATATGTATATATGTGTATAGAGAAAGACCATCATCCTGAGTATAGAAACCCCCCCCCCCCCCCACCACCCCAACAAACAGCCCCGACTTTTTCTGTCTCGAAAGTCTGACCCTAAACCCCCAAATCCCATTGCAACTGGACTGCGGACAGATGCCAGGATACCCTAAACCCTAAACCCCTAACCCCTAAACCCTAAACCCTAAACCCTAAGCCCTAAACTTAAACCCTAAACCCTAAACCCCACAGACCTTGGATGCCCAGGTACAAGCTCCCCACCGCTGCTGGTCCAGGCCGCCAAGGCATCGGCGCGGCTGGCGCCCAGCTGCTGCAAGGCTAAGAGTTCCTGGGGTTTAGGGTTTAGGGTTTTGGCACGCGCTCCCCTTTGCTTTCCGAGGCCGCGGCACATGTGGCCGAACCCCCAGAGCATGCACACACTCAGGACTTTTCAATGAGGCCCGCTCCCGCAGGAAGCAGTCAGCCCCACTTCAACAAGCCCCGGGCCACAGCCGGAATCCCACTATACTCTACAACACACATAAGACTCCACAATCTTGAATACTGTGCTGGCCATTTGTCAGATAAGAGCTGATCACATACACACACTCGAAAATGCACCGTGTCAGAGGACCAAATGTCAAGCAGCCAACCTTCCAGGATATCCAATGGCCTACTGTCACCCAACGCGGCCTCCCTAAATTGCCACCCTTCCTGCCAGTGGAAAACCAACATTTGCAACTGCTCATCCTGCCAACGACAGAACACCACTCGGCTCCCCGAACATGCTCCCTGAACACAGCGGCGAGACCAAAACATATGCTCAGCATCCGTTCTGCATACATTGTGTCCCTTGACGTGTCCAGCTAGGCTCACCCAAGCAAGCCACTTGGGCACAAACGCATTCCAGCTTCCGCTCGGCATCTCCGCCGCTGCTTCCACATCCAGATACTGCGTCTGCATGAAATTTCTGGCCCTTTTGGATCGCGTCCAATCCCCTCCTGTACGGTACCGCCGCCGCCAGCCCTCCGCCGCCTCGAAATGGGAAGTTTGAAAAGTCAATACCATAGCCAGCTTAGAGACCCGACTCCGGCAAACATGACCCAGAAGAGTCCAATGACGCACTGCCAACAGCTGATCCCAGCCACCTCCCCACACAGCCCCCGACCAAACCTTGGCCACGTGTCTAATTGCCTTGTACTGCTGCGCGTCTTGCCAAGCTGAATGTTGTCTAAGGCGCAAGAGCCATACCATGAGAGTTGTACCATGAACGCTGGCTTGATGGAGATTATCAGCTGTAGGCTCGCACATCCCCAGGGCCCAACCCACTGAGCTGACAACCAAAGCCTCAAACATGTAGACCCTCTTGCTGAGCGGAATGCGGGCATTGACAAGGAGACGCCGAGCTGACAGAAAAGCTGCTGTGGATCTTCCGAGCAACGAGCCCAAGATATGAGCATCCCATTCATCTATTTTCAGGGGCACCCCCAGAAAGATGACTGAATCCACAACTTGGATCCCTTGAAACAATCCAGGCAAGCAGTCCGGCAATGCCAAACCAAGGATCTTGCTCTTGCTCAAGTTAACCTGGAGCCCCACCGCGTTTAGGGCCAACAATACCTCCGGAAACAATCTTAGTGCCTGTTGCATGTTTCGAAAAGCGAGGATGCCATCGTCAATGAACAAGAGGGACCACAGATCAACTTCCTGCGCTTTAAACGGCGGATCCTCACCACCGCGCTCCCAGCGTTGTCTCAATTTGCTAAAAATACCAGCCAGCAGGTGTGCAAAGAGCTTGGGGGAATGGGTACCTCCCTGAACCGTGCCCCGCATCATGGGCACAATCCAATCTGCCCCCAGGAAAGTGAAACGCAAGCGCTGGTTCTGCATCATGCGCTGCATGAAGCGACAAGAGCTGGCCACCTGAGGGTGGTAATGATCCTCAAACAATCGGAGCAAGGAATTGATGTCAGAATTATCAAAGGCCCCCGCAATGTCCAGACGCAAGTATATGTACTCATCCCGATACATAGCCGATTGACTGAAGAGGGCTTGCGCGCATTTCAGCGTCTCAGCCACCTGGATTCCGGGCATGCCCCCAAGAAGTTCATGTGGCGCCGGCCACGTACTCACCGTTCTGTCCATGACGATAGAGCACACGATTTTTATCAACACCTCTGTCAACACTATGGGCCTGAGATCTCTGGGTGCGCTCACGCATCGGGTCTTCTCAATGAGGACCACCAAACCATCAAACATGTGAGGGGGTACATGTTGCGGATCAGCGTGCATGCAGTTGATCAGGCGCGTGAGGTACTTGACTCCGCGGGGGGTAGTTACAATCTCCTTGAGCAGTTCATGCGAGACTCCACTAGGGTTTAGGGTTTAGGGTTTAGGGTTTAGGGCTAAGAGTTCCTGGTCCAGAGGTTTTTTCGTGGCGCCCGCATAGCTGGACGAACCACTCAGCAGGGAAGAGGGTTTAGGGTTTAGGAGAAGAAAAGCCCTCAAGGGCCTTGTGATCTCCTTAGGAAGCAACAAGTCGCGCCGAACCTTGTGAGTTGGAGGGTCCAACTCCTCAGGGTTCAAGAACCGGGCTTGGGGTCTATTGCGTTGAGCACCCCAAACTCCCTAAACCCTAAACCCTAAACTGCCCTAAACCCTAAACCCTAGACCCTAAACTAAGTCCTAGCTATGAGCCCCGAGGACTTCAAAAAGACATGCCCCTCATACGTCCTTGTCGTAGCTCACCTCCAGACTCGCACGGTCCGACTGAAGGCCTCATGACTTTTCGGTATATCTCGGGTGTCTACAGTCTATCTAGCTGGGCTGTATGCCGCCTATGTAAGAATGTGCGTGTGAGTGTCTGTGTGCGTGTGTGTGTGCAAAGATGAGCACATACAAAATATGTGTGCACATAGATATGTAAATAATATAGATCATGTGCATGTAGGAATGTAGGATGATCCTGAACGACGTCGACATCCAAAGCCCAAGGCCACCCAAACCCTTTTCAGAGCTCTCTCTCTCTCTCTCCCTCCCTCTCTCTGCGCTTTAGGGTTCAGGGTTTAGGTCTCCGAGTCCCAGAATCACAGCCCTCAGTCCGCACTGGCCACCTTCAGAGCAGCCCTCTCATGCAAGGCGACACAGGAGCTTATTAGGGCATTTTGTGGGGCTCAGGGAATTTACGCTCACACTGGTGGAAGTTGCCGCCGTCGTGCTTGGCAGCTGCGCTGCATGCTATGCCTAGACGCATACAGCAATGAACTCTAAACTGCCCGAACTCCGAGACCTGCTACCTTCCAAGACTCCCAACCCTATGGCCCAGCCTTCTCCTTAACCCCATCACAAAACACTGGGCCCAAAGGTCCCTATATAGGAAGTACTTTGAGGGCCAAGTGTTCCTAATTTAGGTACATGGACCCTTAGGGCACACCCTAAACCCTAAACCCTAAACCCTAAACCCCAAACCCTAAACCCTAAAGGCACCTTTTCTAAACCTGAAACCCTTTTCTGGCTTCCGTCTCAGTGGCTCAGGGAGTGGTTGCTCAGCATCTTTCCCAGTGGCCGGCTGGACTCCATAGTCTCCTGTGAAAGAAAGGAGGGTTTAGGGTTTAGGGTTTAGGGTTTAGGGTTTAGGGTTTAGGGTTTAGGGTTTAGGGTTTAGGGCTATTTTTGCCACCCGCTTAGCTGACCTCTCGGACACGCTGCAGGGAACTGGCGACATATGTCTGGTAGGAGTCGGGCCCTCATCTCAGCTCAGTAAGGCGGCGAAAGAACCCAAACAAAGCATAACCAACTGAAAAGATAAAACAAGTCAGTAGCCACTCAACACAGCCCAGACAAGGACCAGCGTACAACCGGTTTGTTGCACAAGTCGTACTCATCACTACACTCATCGGGTTTGGGGTTTAGGGTTTAGGGTTTAGGGCTAGGGTTTAGGGTTTTGTTGCCACCCACCTGGCTGACCCACCAGGGCCACACTCCGCAGGGACTATTCGAGGGACCAGGAAGAACCCTAAACAAAACTCATATGCTCACACGGCCACTTCTCAATCGACCGCAGTGGGAACGCCTCAAAGTCCAGGGTTGAGGGTTTACAATGGAGGGACCATGCTAACTATAGTTAAGTGACTTTGTAGGATTCCTATGACCTAGTTTAGGGCACTTAGAACTCTACTTACAACTAGGGGGGGCCCCTCTTTGTAGGTCTAGGGTTTTGGACCCTCCACCCTCAACCCTCAACCCTAAGCCCTGGACCCTGGACCCTAAAACCCGAACTAGGATCTCAAGAAACTTTGAGGAGGGTGGGAGACCAGGAACCTATCTTCCCCAGGAGTCTTTTCACGGCAGCCAGCTTGAGGTCCGCCTTCTCAACGCGAAGGTGGCAGCACCTGAGGGACCAACTGGACACTAAGGGGGTTTAGGGTTTGGGGTTCAGGGTTCATCTACCTTGACAGGGATCATAGTAGTAATTGCAGGGTGTATGATCTCAATTTTAGGTTTCATTTAGTCCCCAAGGCACTGGTGATTGCCAAAACCGCCAAGTACCCAGGCAAATCATTCCCATCGAACAGGTACCTCGCAACAGCTGCTGCTTGCCTGTCAAAGACAAAGAAGCTCCCAAACATCAGCGATGCTGAAGCTACGAGTCCCACAGAGATCAGCAGCCGCGTGCCCAAGCTATTCCCGAGGCGGCGCATTCTGTAGGCCAGGCGGATCAGAATCAATGCCAAGCTGGGCAAAAGCAAGAGACAATACGATACAGCCGCACATAGCAATTGCACCAGTCCCCTGATCCTATCTGGGTAGTTCATGTGCATGAGGTCGAGCACGGCCCACAACACGGGGCATGACGCTTGCACAATGCGCCAGTAAGTAAAGACATGGTAAGACAGCTGGTGCACCAACATGTTCAGCACCTCTGTTCTGACCAGGGACTCGAAAGCATCCACAGACCCGAACCACGCTTCGATGCAACGTATGAGAATAACGCGGTCGCAGGCCATTGGCCCACCCTTGACGCTCACGTGGTCCCGAGAACAGCAATCACTCAAGGACTGCTCAACAGTGAAGTCGCCGACCTGTATCTGCATCACGTCGATACTGCGGCAGTGTGCAAGTACCACATAAGCCACAAGCATCAAGGATGGGAACAGCATGGTGCAGATGAAGAGCCCGCCCCATGGAAAGAGTAGCAGAACCCTGGCACTGTGCAGCCACAAGAAGAGCATGAGGAGCGCGCTGAGACTCAGGTGGGCCAGCACAAGCACAGGACCCGTGAAAACTGGGCAAATCCTTGGTAGCCCAGTAACCATATTGTACCAGTAATAAGGGCACCCTTTTTTGGTTGGTGACTTCATAAGGGAACCCAAAGCAACAAAAAAAACAAGGGTAAAGAGTACCACTGGGCTACCCCTAAACCCTAAACCCTAAACCCTAAACCCTAAACCCTAAACCCTAAACCCTAAACCCTAAACCCTAAACCCCTGGGCTACCAAGAATCACAAGGGGCAGGTCCTTGCCATGCCCTTTGCTGTGCAGAAAGCCGGCCACCTCGAACATGCACCACAATCTCGTCCTGGGATGTCCATGGTAGCCCAGTAAGTTTAGGGTTTAGGGTTTAGGGTTTAGGGTTTAGGGTTCAGGGTTCAGGGTTCAGGGTTTAGGGTTAGAATGAGGGCACCCCTTTCTGGGTTGGCTACTTGAATCAGGGAACCCTGAACCCAAAAAAGGGAAAGGGTACTACTGGGCTACCAAGATGTCCAGAAGGCAGCTCAAAGACAAAACCGGTGAAAAATAGCTTCGCGGAGATTGCTTAAGAAACAAATACCAAACTCTGCAGCCTAGCGGCACGAACGTCGAATCCCAGAGGATCAGCAGCGACTTGGAATTCTTCAAGAACGCGCCAACGCCTGGGATTTCGCGAGGGACAGGGCCAGGCGAGGTTTACGACCAGTAGCTGTCTATGTTCAACAAGAAACATCTAGCTAGTTCACGTGTTGCCTGGAAAAGGCCTCCTCAACCCCGAACCCTCTAAGCCTCAACCATATGCCCAGGGGTGCTGATCAGACTCATCGATTTCAGGGTGTCGTCCGTCTGGTGAATGCAGGCAATGTCCAGAAAAACCAGCTTCCTCGCCAACACAGTGGCGGGCTTCTCAAAGGCTTCGCGTTTAGGGCTAGAAGGTTTTAGGGCTTAGGGTTGGAATGAAATTCAAAAGCAGCGCACATTTCGACAAGCTCAACTACGGGGCCTCACCATATGAGAATGTATGAGGTGACGTGCAGACAACAAATTCTGTGCCGGTCCCCAGCCACTTTCTGTGCCGACGAACCCTAAGCCCCAAACCCTAGACCTCACCCCACAAGCACAGCCATGTCACCGTGCGGGGAAAGGCGGAGGGCTAAACCTTAAGCCCCTACCCCTAAACCCTGAACCCTTTTGCAGCAGGCTTGCAGAAGGTCCTCGCCTGAACCCTAAACCCCAAACCCCAAACCCTAAACCCTAAACCCTGAACCCTAAACCCTAAGCCTAAACCCTAAATCCCCGAGCGAAGGCCTGGACCGCCAAAGCAGCAATGTCAAGTAGTAGCCCAGGATGCCAGAGGCAGTGCACCACCTGTAAGATCGTTAGGGTTTAATCGTTAGGGTTTAGGGTTTAGGGGTTAGGGCTTAGGGGTTAGGGCTTAGGGTTTCGGGTTTAGGCTTCTTTTTTGGCGGAGCTGACTGGCTTAGGGTTTGGGGCTCATTGGGGTTTACCAGCATCCCATAAAGGAAAGCCCGTTGTTACACCCACCAAGATTTGTATGGAACCGTATGTCAAAAACACACACTTTTAGGATGCTCCCTAAACCCTAAACCCTAAACCCTAAACCCTAAACCCTAAACCCTAAACCCTAAACCCCCCCCCCCCCCCGGCGCGCATTCTGCTTCACAATGTCTATTGGTTTTCTTCTTTCGAACCCCTAAACCCTAAACCCTAAACCCTAGTTATACCTTGAACCACAAACCAACAAGAGCTGCTGTTAATTGGAGTTGTAGCCGCACGGTTGTGTCGCCCTGTACAGGTATCACCCCTGCGAGCAGGAGGGCAAAGGCCAGAAGGGCACAGAGTGTGCCCAGCACAAACGCCGGGAGACCGCTGTTCCTTAGGGTCTGAATACCCTAGCCAAAAAAAGAAGGCTAGCCTTTTAAAGATACTAGGACTCTATATAACCCAAAAAAGGCTAAAGGTTACCTACCCAGCCCCCAAGGTTCAGGAAGAGAACGTTGAGATACTTCAGCACAGGCCCAGTTTTCCAGCTGTGCGACCAAAACTCATCCAGCTCAGGTGTGACCTGGGGCTTCCGAAAACACGGGTTTTAGGGTTTAGGGTTCAGGGTTACCGTTAAAGAAACCGATATGTTTGACAATCCTTTACAGGTGTTGTATCAACAAAGAATGAAACATATTTTCTTAAGGAAACTAGACTCTAAACAAAGGGACAATGGGATCTGCGCCCTGAACCCTTTGGCCCCCAATTCCCGCCGCCACCTCGCTGAGACCATACAGCGCTGAGGGCTCGTGATGTGCACACTTGCGTGGCATGTCCTACACTGAGCTTGGAACCCTAGCGAAAGTTATCATTCTTAGCTGCTTCTTGGTAATTCAGGTACCCAAATATTATTTTGTCAAAGGACCCTAGCTAAGAAACTAAGGCACCAAATAAGGAAAGTCTTTCCAAGTCTCCCCCAGTGTCTTGTAAGACCCGGTGCACGCGGATCCCTCGCAAGATGTTGGGTGAAGCGGCTCGCATGCTGGCCAGGATCCTTGTAAAGGGGACCAAAGGAGAACCCTAAACATGGGGGGGGGATTCATATATCCTATGTACTACTATAGTAGGGTTTAGGGTTTAGGGTTTAGGGTTTAGGGTTTAGGGTTTAGGGTTTAGGGTACATGAACCCAACACCTTTGCATGGTTCCTTTGATCCGCCCCAAGGGTCACGATGCAACTCTCCAGGAGTGGGTCCGGACTCCCCGAGCCCTGGGAATGCTCGGATGGCCCTGGACTCGGATCGCCACCTAGACTTCAAGAGGAACCTAGGAGAAAAAAAAAAAAGAGGTGCACGTTTTGGCTTAAAAGGGGGCTTATCTAAGGGAATCTAAAGCCTTAATTAAAAAAAAGGAATAAGGGCCTATCCTAGCCACTGGCTCCGAGGCAAATCTCCAAGCCACTCGCCATGGCGAACGGGTGCCGGCGGCCGAACTCTGACTCGGGGAGTCGGCTCAGGCTACGTGGAAGGCTTGGGAACCCTTAGGGGTTTAGGGGTTTATAGGGTTTATAGGGTTTATGGGGTTTATAGGGTTTATAGGGTTTATAGGGTTTATAGGGTTTAGAGGGTTTATAGGGTTTAAAGGGTTTAGGGTTTAGGGTTCGGCAACCATACTCTAGTAAGGGCACCCTTTTTTGGGGTTGGCTACTTTATAAGGGGACCTTGAACCACCAAAAAGGGAAACGGGTACCGCTGGGCTACCAAGAAGGGTTGACACTTTGATGATTGTGTGGCTGGTGACTCTTGTGGCCAGGCTTAGGGACATAGGAGGAGTGTTTCTGTTCATTCATGGCCGCAAGGTTTTCAGCAGCCAGTGTGAAGTGTGAGACTTGAAAAGGACTGCAGCCATTACGAGTGCATGTTCAGACAACATTCACACGACCCTGCAAACTCCATGTGTTGCCGGGTTGCTGGTGGGTTAAGGGTTTATAGGGTTTATAGGGATTCGGGGTTTCGTTTAGGGGTTTAGGTGTTTAGGGTCACCTTCATCCAAGGGTCTCTGCCTGGACGTGAAAGGGCTAAGCTAGGTTGGCTGAGTTCAAGGTTCACCAGGAAGAACAGCGCGCAAGTCGAGATGTCGAGATCCCTATGCCGAACTGCTGCTCGTGCAGGCAACGATGTAAAGAGGGCGCCACACCGCCTCACCTGCTAGAGGGAAGAAAACGAAGCTCTAAACACTAAAACCCTGCACTCCTACCCAAACTCCTGAAAGGATCCAAAAAGTAGTCCTTTAGAAATTCCTAAGGAAGACCCACTGGTAGCTACAGGGAACTATTTGGGGGCTCTACTTTTGGATCCCCCTTGAGGGGTCTGGGTAGTCTCATTCCTAAATCCTAAACCCTAAACTCCCATTGCCCGAGCGCTGGAACCATGAAGATCTGATCCTTAAAACTTGAAACCATCTTTCGCTCGCGAACCGAAGGCCCAACATGAATCCATGGCTTTGGCGTTTGGGGTTGAGGATTTGGGGTTTTAGGGTTTTGGGTTTTAGGGTTCTAGGGTTTCAAGGATTCAGGGCTTTCACAACTGGGGTCCGGATCGGTGATGGTCTGCCACATGCCCTTCTTCTGCATCTTGTCGGGGTAGAAGAACCTGAGTTGGGATGTTCGCCCCTATACTAACAGTCCTTAATAGGGATTCTAGTGCCTCCTATAAACCCTAAACCCTAAACCCTAAGCCTATTGAGGGCTGTGAGTATAAAGGGGAACATCCCGAAAGCTGAGTCCAGAGCTGGTGGACATTGCATACTGAAAAGGCTTGACGCTTAAGAACCACCCCGCAAAAACACATATACACACATACATATTTATATATATATATATACATATATTCTTCCGTAGAAGAGCAATATAGAAGTTATTGATATTGTTTGGGGGGGTTCATAAGCAAACAGTAGTAAGTACTTTCGAAGAGGCCCATGGAACAGCTGCCAATGGCATCACAACAGGGTTCTTAAGTTAGGGGGTTCCCTAAACCCTAAAGTTCGGGGGGGGGGGGGGGGGGGTAGGTGCGGTACCTAGGGGGCCTTAGAGAAGCTTGGGAGCCATAAAAAGGAATGTAGTGGGGGTATTAGGGAACCTTGGCTTACACACCCCCCTTGAACCACCCTAAGCAACGCCACAAGCCAAAAGCAGTCCACAGCACGCTACGTGAATTTGCCCCAGGTTCCCCAGCAGCATACAGCACAAGTGCACAGGGGGCCCGCTTTCGAGTTTACACTGTGGGTGTATTCAGGGAACCTTTACCTAAGCCCCCACACCCTAAACCCTAATTAAACCCTAAACCCTAAACCCTAAACCCTAAACTGGCAAGAACCTGGCGCCAGCCGTCCTGCAGCCCAGGAGCACGACCAAGGTGATGCGGCCATCCGTGATTTCGGGCATGATGGGCACACCGTGCCTTCTTTTGGGGGGGGGGGGGGGGGGGTTAGGGTTTAGGGTTCAGGGTTCAGGGTTCAGGGTTTAGGGTTTAGGGTTTAGGGTTTAGGGTTTAGGGTTGAGGGTTTAGGGTTTAGGGTTTAGGGTCGGTTTGCGATGTTAGGGGTACCTTATTGGGTTCCTTATTAAAAGGAGATCCTACTATCTTGAGCTCTACATTCGGGGTGCCCTATCTTCGTAAACCCCCTATAATATGAGAAGCAGCTCAAGGGTTCAGGGTGACAGAAGTCTACCTAAGGGTAACCTTTGTACCACCTTTGTACCCTTTTAATAAGGGTAATCTGTACCTCAATGATTGGGAAATATCCCCCCTTTCTAAGGTACAAGGTAAACCCTAAACCCTAAACCCTAAACCCTAAACCAGGGGCCCCGAAACGCCTAGTTATCAGTAGAGCTGGGAGGGCCAGAGACTGGGTTATAAGTGTCATAACTTAGGCTGCAAGTCCCTGAACAACCCTAAACCCTAAACCCTAAACCCCGGTTAGTATGATAAAGGGGCCCTTAATAGTGTGTGCTGCTCCCGTAAAGTGTGTCCGAGGCAGGTTCCCATTACTGCATGCGTGTCCCCACCTCAGGGTGCTGGAAAGAAAGGTTTGGGGTATAGGGTTTAGGGTTCTGACACGGACGAGCGCCAAGTGCCAGAAAATTGTAATTGCCAGGTCGATAAAGTCCCGCATTACCCGTGGGCAGTGGAGCTACGCAGCGAACCGAACGAACGACACGCCTCAGTAGAAACGGGGCCATACTGGGTACAAACATTCGCTCCTGTTCGCCAAACGAAGGACCGTCATATGACATTCATAGGGTCGATCGTCTACTTAGGGTATAACTAGCGCAAGAAGTACCTCAAATAAGGTTTTAACCAGATACATGCAATAACCAAATATAAGCTTACAGAATACTTAACCGCACTTCTAACCCCCATTTGTGACAACCCCGAATCTCCAAGTAGGGTTTGGGGAACCCTAAACGCCAACGTCCTAAACCCTAACCCCAAAAACCCCTGAACCCTAAACTACCCCAATATCCGAAACCCTAAACCCCCAAAAAACTCAACGCAAAAAAACCCTGAACCCTAAGCCGCCTCTGCGTCCCGAAGATGCACAAGTCTCCGTTCTGCATGAGCCTGAGCACTCGCACCCATTGCCACAGCAAGTATTCCAAAAGGAACCCTAAACCCTAAACCCTAAACCCTAAACCCTAAACCCTAAACCCTAAACCCGAAACCCGAAACCCTAAACCCTAAACCCTAAAACCCTAACCCAGTGGGTTCGGGTTTTGGGGCTGATGTGATTTCACAGCCCTGTCCCACAACTTCATGCAGCGCCGCTACATCGGCTTTAGGGTTTAGGGTTTAGGGTTTAGGGTTAAGCGTTTCAAACGTGTGCAAGTGCAACAAGAAGGCAACAGCCCCAGTCTGATAGTTCTAGGGGCCGGGCCATTGAATTTAGCATGGGCATCCTCAACTCAACCCTAAACCCTAAACCCCTAAACCCTAAACCCTAAACCCTAAACTGAGTCGCGCATGCTGCCCAGCCGCAGCGGGGTGTTGTCGATTGTGAGGATGCGCTCGTGGCCGAAGCCTGTGGTGGCGGGCAAGGGCTCCTCTTTTGAGCCTTGCTCTTTTGTTTTTTTGTTCTCTCTCTCTCTCTCTCTCTGAAATCCAAACCCTAGATCCTAAATCCCTATCTTAGCCTTTTTTGGCAGAGCAAGCATGGAAAAAAAGTTCTAGGGCATGGTATCAAGAATGCCTTCTGTTTTGGTAGCTTTGCCGCATGAGACCTTGGGGACCAGATGAACTCCATAATTGGGCTTATGTTTGAGGATGTAGGGTTTAGAGCTCATTTTTCCCAATACTGCGACAATCACTGGTAGGGTACGTGGACCATCAGCCCGTTTTCGGGCTGGGTACCCAAAAAGGGACCTCAATTTCTGGGGACCTGCGCCACCCAATGTGAGAAGTCAAGGCCAAATTAAATGATGCAGCCCCTCGCCCTCGCACACGCATTGCTGCTGTACTGCAGAGCCTGCCCTACAAAGAGGTGAGAGCGTAGGGTGTAGGGATTACTAGACTCAAAACCCTAAACCCTAAACCCTGAACCCTAAACCTGGTTCGAAGCAGGGCGTGGCGTTTAGCGCTATAGACTGAATTTCCTAGAGGCGATGCACGTAATCCAGACCCACGAGGAATCTAGGAATGAAAGGGTACCCTTTTTGGTTGTAAGGGGATTCTAAGGGAACCCCAATCCAAAAAAAGGAAATAAGGGCCTACTCCGGGTCCTAGTAGCCCTAAACCCTAAACCCCAAACCCTAAACCTTAAACCCCAGTGTCCTTGTAATCTAACTTACAGGCAAGATGCTGAAGAGGGCCGTCCAGCAATCATGGCGATGGCTCCCAAGATTTCCTGTCAATGGGTTCAGGGTTTAGGGTTTAGGGTTTGGGGTTTAGGGTTTAGGGTTTAGGGCACCCCGACGCTGCAAACCCTTAACCCTAACCCTGAACCCTTTACCCCCCAACCCTTTCTGAAATGGGTCTGAGCACTGCAGGTGCTTCCACCCTGAACTCTTTTGCATTTGGAGTCTAAGAACCCTCACCCTACACCAGGATACGGCGCGGGCCTTGGCCATCTGGATACCAGTTGGTGATCACGCCGGAGGTTCGATCCTGCAGATTGCCGCCCTCGCCACCCTCGCCACCCTCTCCACCCTCGCCACACCCCCAACCCCTTTCAAAATAAGACGAGGAGCTGCACATGGCCCCTTGTTTTTGCATCCGGGATTACAAGGAGGGCCCTCCTTACTACCCCAATTTAGGCTCCCTATAACTCTATTTATAACTGGGGGGGGGGGGGGGGCCTCCTTGCTGGGTCTCAGCCCTCAGCACCTTTTGTGTAGCAGTCCTGAGTTTGTTGGGGCTGTACGTGGTGCAGTGGTTCAAGGACGGGGTTGAGGACTTTTCGGGTTGAGCAAGTTCGTTTATGAGCCAGTCCCAGTCAGCGTTGCACCTGTCATGCCTTGTAGTTAGCTTGCAAGCGTCCCGAAAGGCACATGAAGCCAGGCTTAACATGGTTCAGGACTGCGGGAACAGAATGGGCTCGGTTTGCATCACCCGTCCTCGATGCCATATTCAACAAAGAGCTTCTGAAGCACCTTGTCCATGGCCGGGGACAATCCCGGCTTGTATTTGCCTCCTGCACTCTTGGTCACCCTAAACACACAAGCCCTGGGCCAGTTCCATAACTTATGAGCAGAGGAGAGGTTACGTGTTCTGGAGATTCGACACATGCCTCATGCCTACCACAGCAATGTGACAATGTGCTCCGTGACTCCGTGTTGTAGAGCAAACAAGACGTCACAACATCCTGTAGCTCCGCCTGCCACAAGTCCGACCAAGAAACATGTACCACGTCGAAACAAGTCCTGCTGATAACCTGCTATGTGTGCGTACTGGCTGCTAGTATTCAGCTTAGTCTATCCATTCATTAATGGAAGCTACAATGAATCCAAGTGATCTATTCCCACAAATTCCTTGTTGTTTGTGACATTGGGGCAGGGCTGGCCGTCCTTGATGCCCCTCCCAGCGAATGTTACCCCGCTGGTCGTACTTCCTTGGGTCTCTGATGTGCGGTTTTGTTGCCACCCGCCAAGCCAAAGCGCTGCAGGGACAATTTCAGAAAGACGACAACATTCGCTGAGCAGCAGCAAAGCGGCTTGGAGTTTGGGGTTGTAGGGGGTTAAAAAAAGCATAGGAAACATCCTCCACTGATGCAATTGACAAATGTCTCGGCGCTAGCTTCGATGGCAAATTCCCCAAAACACATATGTGACCCGTGCTGGCCCAAGTTGAAATAGTCCGCATATCAACACAACTGTCGAGACTGAAGCCAGAACCCTGCAGTCAATCCTAACGCCACAAACCAGCCTTGACTGCAAGTTGCTAATGCTGCCCTAAACCCTAAACCCTAAACCCTAAACCCTCAACCCTAAACTCTAAATCCTAGACCCCTGTGCCATGGTGCAGGTGGTACGCGCCGGTGGCAAAATCCCGAGTGCGAGCATTACTCGGCTTCCAGTCTGTGTTCTGCAGGATCTCATCCTAGGCGGTTTAGGGTTCAGGGTTTAGGGCTTAGGGTTTGGGGTTGAGGGGGGGAATCTAGGACGGCCCTTAAAACCCTCTGAAAAAATATTCCTAGATATGATCCTCTTAAGCCCAATAAGAGAAGATACACAACATCCCAAGGGCTTTCCTATGACTGGGTTTTGGGGTGCAAGGTTTACAAGGCTCCTGGCCTGGGGTATTCTGTCAACACCCTAAACCCTAAACCCTAAACCCTAAACCCTAAACCCAGAACACATCAGAAGCCACAGGAGCTGGTCCATGCAGGGCGTTCGGCCTGGGACCCTTTTAAGGTTCTACCCTTGGGTGTTGGGGTCCCCTTTTTGAGGATCCCCACGGGAATCTAAGGGCCACAAGGGAATGCTACCAGTCATTATTCCGACCCCTTTAGTAGCCTTGGGTTTTGGGGACCTTTGGAAAGATCCGTATGGGAGTATAAGGGCCATATTAGGACAACATTAAGGCGAACCTTTAAGGGTACAACCTTAGAGGTACGAGTCTGAATCCCTTGAGTCAAGTGTGCCAAACAACAGCTTCAGCCCAAGACACGTAGATGGCGGGGTCGTTGGCGAATTGTCGCTTGACCTCCACCTCACTGAAACATTCACTGCCCAACGACCCTCCCCATAAACCAAGCCAAAACCCAAAAACCCAAAGTCCTCTAAGTAAACTAAACCCTGTGAAGTGGGTTGTCCTTGTTCTGAAGCCTGTGCGCGTGTTTCCAGTCTCCTACAGCAAGACTTGACCCTGCCTCCTTCGGCCATCATGAGTCTAGGTTATTAAGGTTGGTCTCCCTCCTGCACAGCTGGGGCGAAGGTTTAGGGCTTAGGGTCCATACCTGCAGCCCAATGACCACCTCACTTCTGCCTAAGTCTCAATCTAATCTAGGCTCCCTGGGACCTAAACCCTAAACCCCAAACCCCAAACCCTAAACCCTAAACCCTAAACCCTAAACCAAGCCAGGAGACATCTCGCCACCAGGTAGCAGTGTCGTGCACCGACTCCTCGCAAGCAGTTCTTCTGAGCTCTACTTCCGGCCTGGACATTTTGCCTTAAGAACCGGACACCTGGTGTTGTATGGAACCCAAGAATCCGATATTCATGACCTACCAAAAAAGCACCTCTTCGTTTCTTGTAAAGGTCTGGACCAAGCAGGTGTTTAGGGCTCACCCGGAAAGCCCTAATGCCTGGGCTTGGCGACCCTAAACCCCAAACCCCAAACCCCAAACCCCAAACCCCAAACCCCAAACCCCAAACCCCAAACCCTAAACCCTAAACCCTAGGGCAAGTTTGCGGAGGCAAGCCTCAGGTTGTCACGAAGTACCCGGAATCAGGTCATAACCACTCACGACTATACTTGCTTAAAGCTATGACCCTACTTGCAGCCACGACATGAACCTCCGAGTAGCCCCAGGCATGCCGGGCTATGCCGGTAAACTTGAGCTTAATTTGCATGCTCAGCTCTAAACCGTACACCCTACACCTTAAACGACATGCTGCAGAGGATAAAAAAATTGAGGAGGCGCGCCTTCGCCTTTGCACTCGTGTGCCACACCCTATGAAAGTCGGGAAAACATCCTCAGAATACAATGTCAAGCATTTTGGTTTTGGCGACTCAATCCAAAACCCTCAGGCCAATTGACCCTCGACAGTGTAAACCCCGAAACCTAAGCCTAAACCCTAAACCCTAAACCCTAAACCCTAAACCCTAAACCCTAAACCCTAAACCCTAAACCCTAAACCCTAAACCCTAAACCCTAAACCCTACCCATCAATCTTCAGCTGTGGGCATGCTTCCTCCGTCATGGAGGCGCCGTTCGTGGCCCCCACCCCACGCTCATTTCGCCCCATCTCCTGGAACAGGAAACCAAAAACCCTAAACCCTACATTCTCAACCCTAAACCCTAAACCCTAAACCCTAAACCCCTAACCCCAAACCTCAGCAACCACAATCCCGAGACCGAAAAGAAAGCCTGCAGAAAAGCCCAAATGGTTAGGCTTCCAGGATTCGAGGCAGCAGTTAGCAACACAGAGCGGTCGAAAGTGACAAGAGAGAGTGAGAGAGAGAGAGAGAGAGAGACAGAGAGAGAGAGAGAGAGACACAGAGAGAGAGAGAGAGAGCGAGCTGAGACAGAGCTGAGACACAGGGCGTAAGCACACACTCACGAAATAACAACAAATGCACGAGGGGATCGGCAGCGGCAGATAGCTTCGGATACTTTTTATGCCAGCAACTAGCTGCATCTGCTAGTGTGTGCCAGTTTTCATCTTCCAAAGCTTCGTGTAGGCGTTAGGGTTGAGGGTCAAGTTGCTAGAGCTCTGGCGCTTGGAGTTTTCAATCTTCCGAGCTAGTACAGCGGGCTCCTTTGTGAGGTACTCATGCACGCCCCATGGACGAGGGATCTCTTTGGGCTCTTTCTGCCACCACTTCGCGACAAACTTCCTCAGTTCAGTTCGGACAGCAAACGCAAAACCCCAAAACCCTCGAACCCTCAAACCCTGAAACCCTGAAAGCGCTAAACCCTAAACCCAAGCTCCGTGCCCATGGTCTCCAAAACGCAATCCAATTAGGGAAAAGAAGGCTAAAGTTCATTTTCCTACAGAAGAAGTAAAGAAACCCCAAAAGGTTACCCTAAACCCTAGACCGTAACCCGAAACCCTCAACTCTTGGCCAAGTAAGGTCGAGTGGCACAGATCGGCCAAGGGCCTTGGCGATTTCTGTTTTCTCAAGGCCTGCAAGGACAGGGCGAGAGGGCTTGGGGGTTCAGGGCTTAGTTGTCCACAAACCTGGGGGGAATAAAAGGTAGGGGATGAGACTAGCCCAAAAAGGTTAAAGGTTACCTACCCTACTCCCTCAACCCTAAACCCTCCTCAAGCCTAAGCCCTAAGCCCTAAACCCTAAACCCTAGGCAGGGCTGAGGGTTTCGACTTGGGTACACTTCTCGATTTGTGCGCGTCATCCTTGCGCAGGGGCCATGCTTCGGGCTTGGGGTTTATAAGGGTTAGGGTTTAGGGTTTGTTGGGTATAGGGTTTAGGGTTTAGGGCTTATTAGGTATAGAGTTTTGGGTTTAGGGTGTATTAGGTATAGGGTATAGGGTATAGGGTTTAGGGTTTTGGGGGATGGCAAAGGCTCTTTGGATAAATTCAGGGTCCTGTGGTCAAGCCGCAAAAAGATCCTGTCGGGATTCAGCAAAGAGCTAAACCCTAAACCCTACTGTAAGCCCTAAATCCTAGACCCAAAACCCTAAACCCGAAGCCCTAAACCCTAGATTCCAACCCCCTCCCCCCTGGCAATAGCGCTCCCCTCCAAAGAATGTTTCAGCATCAACTATACCGTCATGCCTTTGAGGTCGGCCTGAGCACCCACTTCTGGTAGCAGGGCCTTATCCAAATCGCCGAGGCCTATTCGAGCTCCAGAGCGCCGCCGTTTTGCGCCTCGGCGGGAACCAGCCTGGGAAGCACGATGTTTGGCTGGGTTTCGGCGTATACCCGACGTGGAGCCACTGCAGCCGACACCAAGGATGCAGGCTGCGATCCATCGCTGGCCTACTCTCTTCTTTGCGGCGCTGTCGGCCGCCTCAGCGTGGCCAGCTCGGCGCGGAGGTGGCCAAGCTCACGGCGAAGCTGGGCCGCCTCCAAGGAGGCTCGGTTGTCCGCGTCCACACCGGCAAAGCAAGGCATCCTCTGACTGAGCACGTGCCGCCACCCGACCTGAACTACTAATTGCTTAAGAACCCCCCCCCCCCCCCCGCAAAACAAAAGATTTTTATAAGGGCAACACAGAGAACATGATTCACTTTTTTGGGTGGTTCTTAAGCAAGTAGTAGATTGAGGTCCTTATTAGAAAGGGATCCTACTATTTGGGGATCTGTATTGGGGCAGTGAATGAGCTGCCACTTGGCTCCGTCCCTGCACCGGGCTTAACTGTAGTGTCTTTTGGGGGGGTGTGTCGGGTGAGAGACTCGTTTGCCATATCAATGATTTTTAAGCCTAAACCCTAACCACCCTTAAACCCCTAAACCCTATGTAAGCCCTAAACCCTGAACCCCGGCCTTCCTTGCGGAGGTGAATGCAACGGAGGCGATCCTGATACCTCTGGCACTTGCTATCCCATTTGTTGGTGCTTTTTGCCTTAGGGTTTTCCCAAAGTCTCCAATGTTGTTCCTTTTTGGGTTAGGTATAGGGGATTCTAGTATGCTACCCCAAAAAGGTACCACATAGGAGCCTTTGGGTAGGGTTGAGGGTTCCGGGTCTCTAGGGTTTAGCGTTATGGTGTCTAGGGTTCCCCAAGGTTTGGCCTTTTTTTCGAGTTTAGGGTTTCTCAACCCCTACTGGTACCCTACAGATATAGGCATTGGAGAAGTTCCCTAAACCCCTGCGGCACGGTGTCTGCGGGTCGTGTGTTGACATGCGAATTCGCGGGGTTGAGGATGCAGGGCTTGTAGCCGTTTTCTTGCAGACTGGGGTTCGTGCTTTTGCTACCCTGCAACGCTACAAGTGTAAACTCAACCCTAGACTCTGCTAGGGAGCAGGCGGGGTGTCTTTGCTTTAGGGTTTCGACGCTCGTGCTCGGTCAGGTTTAGGGTTAAGGGTGCAAAGTTTCGGGCTTAGGGTTCCCTGCAAACCCTATAGTTATAAACCCGGAAAGAACCTCCCGAAGCTTTTCACACTTGCTTCTGACCTCAAACCCTAATATCAACGAAGCCCAAAACCCAAAAACGCAAACCCTATCTAGAGTACCCTTATAAAAAAAGGGCACTGTGCCGTAAACCAAATGCAGGGAAACCTACCCTTGTTTAAAGGTACAAGGTTACTCTAGGTAAACCCTAAACCCAAAACCCCAAAGCCCAAACCCCCAAACCCCAAAGCCGAAACCCTACACCCTAAACCCAAACCCTCGCCCGAAACCCTGAACCCCTAGCCCTAAACCCTAAACCCTAAACCCTAAACCCGAAACCCTAAACCCCCAGAGGCTGCCAGCTGAACTCCCAAGGCGGGGGACTCCTTGTTGCCTTGGGAAGAGTTTTGCGCGAAGAGCCCCTCGGCTTGGAAGTGGGACTCGTCAAACTCGGTGACCTCTTCTCAGGGTTTCAGGGTTTAGGGTTTGGGAGGATTTTAGGGTTTTGCTGTTTAGGGTTTGGGGGTGGTTTAGGGTGCAGGGTTTATAAGGTTTAGGCACACTATCTGCAAGCAGTCCGCTGCGCGTTGGGAGAGCGCGACTCGTTGGGGCCCTTTAGGGTTCTGGAACTCGGAGAGGTGCTTTGGGCAACAGGGACTGCTCGGCCATCCCAATGCATTGGTTGATGCACCTGACCATCATGCCACGATTGTTAAATAGGGGTGTTGGGGTAACCCTAAACCCTTTTTGCAACTGGGACTTGGTGACTGCCAGAACAGAACCCTAAACCCTAAACCCTAAACCCTAAACCCTGATCCCCTAAACCCTAAACCCTAAACCCTAAACCCCTTAACCCTAAATACCTTCGAAACCCTACTAAACCCCTAACCCCTAAGCCGCAGCTGGGCCGGGGCTGGTTGTGGGAGCTTCGTGGTTCAGTGCTCGGGATGAACGGGGGCTGATAGAATAAGGGTTTAGGGTTTAGGGGCCTACTCTGGGTCCTCGTAGACGCAAGTTGTTGTGCTCGTCTGTGGAGGGCTTTTTTGCTATGGTTAGGGTTTAGTGCTTTAGGGTTTCTGGGGTTTAGAGGTTTTATAGGGTCTATGGATCTCGTGCCCGCCTCCTCCTTGCCGTGGAACTGCATCCATCGGTACCTCACTGCTCTCCAGCACAGAGCACAGGGGTCCGCCTTCCCAAACCCTAAACCCTAGACCCTCAACCCTGTACCCTAAACCCTACACCCTAAACATCCCTAAACCTAAACCCTCCTTCCGACAGCGCGTAACACACGCAAGAGGGCCCGCCGCAGTGCAAGCGAGAGGCGTCCGCAGAACCTTGCGCTGCGGGTCCTGGACCCCCTGCCTGAAAAGCCATGACATGGGTTTAGGGTTTAGGGTTTAGGGTTTAGGCTTTAGGCTTTAGGGTTTAGGGTTTAGGGTTTAGGGTTAGTAGGGCGTAGATGCTGTGAAGGTTAGGATGCAGCAGCGGCTCGAATGCCTCGTCAGGCGCGAAGAGCAGTTCTGGCCCGATTGTGGAGGGCCATCTAACACTTGTCTCCCACCCCACGCCGTCCGAGGCGGCAAAACCACCCAAACCTATTCCTTTTAGGATTTAGGCCTAAACTCATGACAATCGCTTACTTTCAAAAAAAAATCTTTCCGTCACCGATGGCCACTTTCAGCCAAGGGAAAGGTTTGAGGCTAGGTCCTCACAGCTGCGAGAGGTTTTAAAGGGTTTGCAGGGTGAGGACGGGGGGAGGGCAGGAGGGTCAGGGGGCCAAGCAGGCCAGGGACCAGGGCGCCAGGGCAGTCAGGGGGTCTGGGAAGGGCGGAGGGCCAGGGAAGGGCGGGGGCCTGCAGAAGGGCCAAAGCGGGGCCAGGGTGGGGCCGGAAGGGGGGCGGGCTGCAGGAGGCGGGCAAGCGACCTGGGTCGACCTTCGCCATAGAGGTCGAAGGGCTTCAGCGCCGCCCCCTTCTGTAGGGGGCGCGGCCTAGGCCCTGAGTTTAGGGTTTCGGGCTTAGGGTTGAGACCTTGATCCTAAAGCCTCCGAATCCCCGAAGTTTGTAAGCCCTAAACCCCCTAGGTTCCGAAACCCTAAACTCGCTAAGCCCCGGAAACCTAAACCCTAAACCGCCCTAATCACCCGAAACCCAAAACCATGGTCTCCCAAGCCCTAAACCTGTTTGGAACCCTCAACCCTAAGCCCCAGAGCCTAAGCGCCAAATTAGAACCAATCTCGACGCTCTCTGTACGAAACCTTTTAACTGGAAGAGGCCTAGACCCTAAACCCTAATCCTAACCATAAACCCTGTAACCCTATGACCCTATAACCCTATAACCCTATAACCGTATAACCCGATAACCCTATAACCCGATAACCCTATAACCCTATAACCCTATAACCCTAAACCCTAAACTGTAAACCCTAAACCCTAAACCCTAAACCCTAAACCCTAAACCCTAAACCCTAAACCCCAGACCAAACCCCAGAAGGCCAAAGAGTCTTCGCAGCCCAGGCACTGACTTCGGCGGACGCCGAAAGCTTCGTCCAAGCGCTGCAGAGGCATAGCTGCGACTCCAAGTCGGATCTCTTTAAAAGGGGTTTAGGGTTTAGGGTTTAGGGTTCAAGGTTTAGAAGTTAGGGTTTAGGATTAACTTCTGATATCTAACGGGGTTCAGGGTTGAGGGTTTCGGCGCTGGCATTGATATTTCATGGGGGTTTAGGGTTTAGAGGTAAGGCTTGGGCTGCAGTAGTTGAGAGGCGTGGCTATCAAGCACATCTCCAACTGGCGCCCAAGGCTGTTGGGGCGTCAGTTTGAGGCTCTTCTTTATTATGAGGCAGCTTACTTTCAGATTCACTATAAGGAGTGTCAGGGGATCGTGTTGGTACTCATATTAACTCCTCTGTTACATTTTAGGGCGGAAAGCTACAGAGGTTCAGGGGCTGGTGGCTGCTGGCATGAGAATGGAAGCGATCTGCTCCACTTCAAAGCTGGGACAGAGCCAGACCCGAGCTGTTTCAGCATCGGTTTAGGGTTTAGGGTTTAGGGTTGAGGGTTTGGGGTTTAGGGTTTGGGGTTTCGGCTCGCACTCGCAAAAGGCAGGCAAGGACTCGGTCGGAAGGTTCTCACTATGACAATCCGCCAGATTCCCACTCAAGCGCAGCTCCAAACGCGATGAACCAAAAGTGTAGGTCAACGAATCATGTGGAGGTGGAATCTCGTGCTGCAGGGTTTGGGGTTTAGGGTGTCGGGCTTATCTAGGGTCCCAGGTACGGGCCCTTAATTTGGGTCCTTTGTTATCTAACCCTTACATACACTATACATACCGAGGGCTCATACTTCGGATCCCTATACACCAGGGTAGGGGACCATACTAAGGGCCCAATGTTCTGACCTTAGGGTTTAGGGCCCTTTTAGGATTTAAGGTATATTTGGGGATTTCGAACATAGGGGTACCCCCTATATACCCCAAGATACTATATAATCCCTACAAGGGGTACCCCTAGTTTCGGAAAGCCCCGTATATGGTTTAGGGCAAGAACTCGTAAGCTGCGATCCGCATGGTCCCTGAGTCCCTAGAAGGAGGACCCCTTATAGACCCCTTATGTACCCTGACAACCCAAGGGCCCATGCAGCAGCCTTTTAAAGGAGGTAAGGGACCAGATTTAGGGCCCATGTAACTACGCTTAGAAGGGCCCAAATCCCCAAACCCTAGCCACCCTTGTGCCCAAACCGGCGGCCCCACACCATCCTCTTAGGGGCTGAATACCTAGCCAAAACAATGGGTTTAGGGTTTAGGACTTAGGGTTTCGGTTTTATATATATATATATATATGCTAGGACTCTAGACAACCAAAAAGGTTAAAGGCTACCTACCCATTCCCTAAGTCCTTGACCCGACGGTTGGGTTGCAAAAACCCGCCAAGGAACTGGCAGTACAAGTGCACTATGGGGCCTGCATAGTTATAGTATAATGGGGCATATTCGAGAAGAACTATAAAGGGACCATAAGGGAACAAATAATATTAGAAAATTTGAAATGACTCTGACCCCTGTAGCAGGCAGCCCTGCCCAGAAAGGGGACCTCGGCCAATGCCTGGTGCCGATCCAGGCAGAACCCTGCCAAACCTGGCCATGCGAGGTGTCGACTCTCACAACGCGCGCACGCGTAGGCAAGGCGTAGGCAAGTTAGGGCGTTAGGGCGTAAGGGCGTAAGGGCGTTAGGGCGTCAGGGCGTTAGCCGCGTTAGGGGGTTAGGGCGTTAGGGCGTTAGCCGCTTTAGGGCGTTAGGGCGCTAGGGGGTTAGGGCGTTAGGGCGTTAGGGCGTTAGGGCGGCAGGGCGGTAGGGCGTTAGGGCGGTAGGGCTTAGGGCGTAGGGCTTAGGCGACTTCGAGTTTAGGGTTTATAGGGCTTAGGCTACTTTGGCGGTTAAGGCTTCAGGCTCTGCGGGGTTTGGATCTAGAGTTTATGCCTTTGTCGCTCACTCTCGGAACAGGCCAGGCGAGGTCTGCCTAGGGTAACCTTTGCACCCTCTAAAAAGGATAGTGCGCCTTTGGAAGTATAGCACGTCGTGTTTAAGGTGCAAGGTTGCTCCAGGTAGAGTTCAGGGTCGAAGGGTTTAAAGCCCTGGGCCTTCGACTCTCACACTCACACTCGGAGAAAACAGGTGAACTAACCCTAATGCGTGGGGCTACACCCTAAACCCTAAACACAGAAAAGGCCACTCATCCTGCACAACTCTGCCGTGCTGTCTGGGGCCAACGCGGATGGACAACCTCCACGTCGCAGCCTGAACTGCAACTTGATGGTACGTGATTCGGGTTCAACCCTGACTAACCCTAAACCCTGAAACCCTAACACCTCAACCCTGAAGCCGTAAACCCTAGCACTAAACCCTGAAACCCTGTATGGGTGGATTCGATGGGTTCCGAGTTTAGGGTTGAGGGGTTAGTTGAGGGGTCCAATGTCTTGAGGCTGAGGGGTTTACGGCTTGCAGTCCCTGATGTTCTTCGAGCTGCACGAGTTGGGCTGGGGTTTAGGGTTTAGGGTTTAGGGAGGGTCCAGGGTTTAGGGTTCAGGGTTCAGGGTTTAGGGTTTCCTTAACCCCAAACCTACTTTGTGGTAGGTGACCTAAGAATCCGATACATGGGTTTATAGTAAGGGCCTACATAGCAGCAGGGTGATGGGCTTTCAAGGGCAGATTGTAGGTGCCACTTCTTTGCCATTCAATCATTTTTGCTGTTTTCCGAGTTTTAGGGCAGCAGTGGACATAAACCCTGAACCCTGAACCCTGAACCCTAAACCCTTAACCCTAAACCCCCAACCTGCCTTGGCCACCCCAAGCCCGGCAAGGCTATGACTCTACAACCATTTGTTGCCTCCTCATAGCCAGCACCTACTCCTAAACCCTAAACCCTAAACCCTAACCCTAAACCCGAAACCCGAAACCCTAAACCCTAAAGAGAGTTTTGCTGTAAGCCCTGTGTTCGGTTGCCTCATAACAATGAGTCATTCTTTTCACTTGTAAGGGCAACATAGGTATTGATACCTTTTCACTTTTGAGCGGGGGGGGGGGGGTTCTTAAGCAAATAATAGTTTGAGGGTTGACGGAATCAGCGGGACCCCTAATTAAAACAGACCCCCAAACAGTAGGATTCCCGTCTCACAAGGACCCCAATTTGGCACCCCCTCATTTCGAAAACCACAAACCCCAAACCCCAAATGCCAAACCCAAAACCCTAAATCCCAAACCCTACCAATGACGTGCCCCCCTAAATTCGAAGACCTTCGTAGAAGCCTGAAGTGAAGCAACAACCACGGCAGGGTGGCAGTTTGCGAGCCTTTGGTTGCCGCGGTGAAGCCCTGTGATCGCAGCTCACTGCGGAGCATGGACAAGGATCGGTTTAGGGTTTAGGGTCTAGGGTCTAGGGTTTAGGGTTTAGGGAACTTTCGACATGAACAAAACAATTCACAGGCAGTGGCCATTTCAAGAAGGGCCACTGCGCACGGGATCTTCGATCCTAGATAGCGGCAGCAACGCGCCAGGAGCGGCCCAAGCAGGCCACCCTCTCAAGGCCCGAAGTGTAGCAGGTCATAGGGCTTATAGGGCTATAAACCCTAAACCCTAAACCCTAAACCCTAAACCCTAAACCCTCGGAAAAGGCGAGGTCTGATGGAGGCGGGTCCCAGCGGGGCCACTCCGTAGCCCAGGTCTCTGCCAGTTGGTACATGTTGCACTGAGCACGCAACTTCTGTGAGAGTTTCGATGAGGAGCCTTAAAAGGAATTATGGGGTTTGCAAGTTCAAACAAGTTTAGGGTTTAGGGTTTAGGGTTTAGGGTTAGGGGCCACATGAGTGCTGAGCTCTGGGAGCGAACTTCTGTGTGAATCTTGAGCTCTACCTAGAGGAGCCTGTGCAAGAAAACATGCCGCCTCTACTAGGCAAAGTTCGATGTAGTCTGCGCACCGCCTCTGTGCAACGAACTCATGCTTGGCCTTCGAAATCGACTCCGCCAAACAAAAATTGGTCGACTGTACACAAGCTCCTGCACCGGATCCAAGACGACTCCTGTAGGAGGCGGGATTGTCATTCTCACATGTCTCACATAACCCTAAACCCTAAACCCGGAACCCTAAACCCTAAACCCTAAACCCGGAACCCTAAACAAGCGTTAAAGACTTAATTACGAGCCTGAGGAGCCACAGCTCAATGAAGCGGCTAGCGCTCTCCCTGAAATAATCGGGAGGCAAGTCCGTTTCCTCCTGCGAGCCTACTAGATCCTAAACCCTTTTGCACAGGCTTGTCCCGGCGAGACCCTAAACCCTAAACCCAAAACCCTTAGCCCTTTTTGCTAAACCCTAAACCCTAAACCCTAAACCCCAAACCCTAAACTTGGATCCATGGAAGGGTGCTCACCCTTCGGGTGGGCCGTTGTTCGGCAAGGAGCGGAGGTTTCGGGGCGATGTGCTTTCGGCACCGACTGCAGCTTCAAGGGGTTTAGGGTTTAGGGTTTAGGGTTTAGGGTTTAGGGTTTAGGGTTTAGGGTTTAGGGTTTAGGGCTACTGTGCGGCCGAGAGATCGTCAAGGAACACAGGCATTGCTGCAGAAAACCCGAATGCACCAAAGCACCCTTCGTCCAAGCAAGCGGGGATGCTTTGAGCATGAATTGCGCAGGCGTGAAGGCCAATTACTGCTGATGGCCATGAAGAGCTGCTGACTGTTTTGGGCAGACTTCGACATAAGCTATCAAACAGCGGGATTTGCATTCACATCTCGCAAGTCGCAACCTACGTTCAGCAGCCAATCGGCCAACAGCCTGCAACTTTGTATCTGAGAGGAGAGTCCGCGGCAGAGACTGCGCCGGGACATGGGTGTCGGCTGTGTCATGTCCTCCAATCAAGGATTGCAGGAACGGGTTACTATAGCCCTTCTGATCCCCTACGGCCTTTTAAAGGAACAACAAGTGGGTACGAGAGACCATTCAACGTGAAGGCTCTTGAATACCCTAAACCCTAAACCCTAAACCCTAAACCCTAAACCCTAAGCCCTAACCCCTCGGGTGTGCC